TCCTCCCTCCTCCCTTCCGCTGGGAAACTCAACAGAAAAAGCTCTCACCCGATGACTCGCTCTCCTCCTCACCTCGCCTCACCCGGGCCCTGATCGCAGTCCCTGTGCAGCCTGTGTCCCTCTCTCTTTGTATATGTGTCTCTGCCCGGGTTGACATTTGTTCCATAACTCGTATATGTGCACATTGTTTACCCGTCTTTATGAGCTTTCTCTCTACCGGCCTGCTGTGTATCTTAAGACTATAAGTCTGCCTTCGCTGCTTGTCGGCTCTCTTATTCCTCAATCTATCATTACCTCTCTCTGTCTGTCCCCTGGCACCTGATTACAAAGTCAAATTGCCGAAGGACAAGTGGCGTCGACTCCCCCGTCTGCATGCTAAACCAGGAAGACTTTGGGGGGGGGGGGAACCCGGTGACGGCGCGGTTGGTTCTGACCAAGAGCCACGTTGGTGTGGTTAGTAACTTTGCTGAGGTTGAGTTGTTTCGCGGCTTCGTGCGGATCGGCATCAGCAAACCTGAAACTCAGGGCGAAGGTCGCCGCCGACGCCGCCACCGTCCCTCCGTCCCCGCGTTCTGCAACTGAACAAGCACTTCTACGGTGACTCAGGTTAGACTCTGAATGTAACACACACAGAATACATCAACATGCGCCCCGCCCCCCCCCAGGCGGTGCAGTGTGAGAGGTTGTTGAGGTGCGTTCCCTCCACGCCGCTCGCAGATACTTCGCGGTGTCGCCCCAGGAGATTTGCTGACCATTGCAAGAGCAATAAGGATTTTTAGGGGCATTATGACTGGGTTAATGAAACACAGCTGCCCCTAAAAGTCCCTCACTTTTCTTGCTGCCTTTTCTCCCTCCCTCCCTCCCTGGCTCATCTCTCACTCTCTCATTCCAAACTTTTGAGATCAAACTACAACATTTGCAATGATTTGGTGCACAACTTTTGTATCTGTCCACTCAGTCGCGCCTGAAGAAACGCAACGGCCGCAACGTCGGCGGGGCGGGTTATATATTTCCCATAAAAGCCAGCATGCTTTCCCAGTATCTGTGAATTGTATATTTATAACGGACAAGGTTTATTGGGATTTGCAGTAGTGTTTTAAAGGGGGGTAGGGGGGGTTGAATGAGCTCAGAGCCGAGTTTCCGAGAAGAAAGGTCTCCGTGTGTTCATTACAAGTTCAGCTTCCACGGAAAGGGTAAACACACTTGAGGCTCTAACCTTCGCAGACTTTTTCTATATGATGCTCACAATAACATGCGGCCGATTTGAGACAGCCGAGCGAACCCAGTGACCGGAGAGCGCAAAACAACCTGCAGGAAAAAAAAAAATTCTATTTAAAGTATGAACTCAAACCCCTGCAACGAGACGAGAGGACGCGACGACGCAGCCGTGGTGGATAATCAAAAAGAAGTAAGCAACCTCTGCGCTGCAAGTGGCGAGATGAGCGCGATCGGGCCTCTTTTAAACAATACGAAATGCCACTGAGACAGGCTTTGGCAGGCGGCAGCAGCCAACGCTGTTTAACATCACAGCTTTAATCAGTGCGCTCGGTGACTCTGCCGGAGTTCACCCGTAGCTGCTTGTTCAAAGCGGGCTCCAGGCCTCCCTTACTAGGCCCTGGGCTCTGGTGCCCGTACTCTCCTGCGGCATATACGGAAAGCTTTTGGCTGCGTTTCCGCGAGGTGCCGTCGCTCTCTATCGAGCCACTTTGGAGGGAAAACGGTGACGATACAGTTGAGCTGATCCGAGGCGCAACGCACATCTCTATATAAGTCTGTGTGGTTCATTTTTTCTATTGTTTCTAATGATCGGATGACTTGAATTAGAATCTGACTTCTTACAGAGGTAGCAAGTAGCAGCAGGAGGAAACTAATGAAGTGCCACTGATCTGTCAACAGCCCGCAAATAACACATGATCAAGCGTTAAATCAATAAAATTGACGTGAATGAGTAATGTGAGCACTTCCCCACACAGTCCGATGCCAGGGGAGCCCGACTTACTTCACACAACTGTTTTTAATGATCTCTGAGGTCTCTTGTTTTTAAAAATAACTAAAAAACCCAAGCATCAGTGAATGTCTTACCTATGTGTCACTTGCAGCACGGAGATGGCACCACGGCCCTGCGCTCTATTAATTACATAAAGCATCTCATGTCAGGATGCTAAACTCATTAGAGAGGCATCTATGGTATGTTAGGGTCAGGACGGATATAGAAACGCGCCTCCAGAACAACTTCTTCCCCACTTGACACTCTTCAACATAAGAGTTTGGCACTTTGGGATTTTTATTCATTTCAGTGTGTTTATACTGAACAAATAGAACACACTTTGGACTAAACAAGCTGTCTAAATTCAAGGAGGGACATAGTCGTTTATTTGTAACACAACGGAAGTTGGATTAATTTATGGTCTCTGATGAGGAATTCGTTCAATCACGTAGTTTTTCACTTTGAATTTAGCTTTTCTTTTTATGACTGGGCTCAAAGAATGCGATTCGATTTAAAAAGAAATACTAATCAAACACTGTACAGCAGAATGAGGCCATGTTTGTTCATCACTGTAAGCACCAGACAGAAATACCCAAGAAGCAAGCTTCTCCTTCACAAGGCGCTAAAGTTCATGTTTGACGAATCAAAAAGATTTTAGCCGATTATTAAGACGTTCACTGGTTGACCTACTAGGTTATTAACATGTTCAAATCATTTTGTGTAATATTCATACAATATTACACGTCTGAACATCGGGATTTGTCGTATATATTAGTGACTCTGATGACTTTATTTTAGCCTACTTTACTCTGTGCTTTTCTCCATAGTATCGCTGTTATACAACCCCCCAAAAACATCAGATCTGAACTTATCAAGCTCGGTGGTGAGACTGCGTCTCCTGTGCTTCTGTAAAGAAAAGCTATATTTACTCTCTGAAAGACTTCCCATCTGTTCCCTATTCCTTTTCCTAACATGCAGCAGTGGTGTAGACTATTGACATTAACTTGGTGGTCACATGAGCCAGAAACTGGGACTTTGTAGGCCAGTTGAACAAATGTAGGACTCACCTTGCCCGCAAAGACCCAGCCTCTAACACACACAACATCATCATCATCATCATCATCATCATCATCATCATCATCAGTCCTATCGCCGGGACTCGAACCCCCACCAGTGGATTCCCATTGTGTCTTTTCCACCACATGGTTTTACTTCCAGACGAAGTGATGAAGGAATTAAAAAAAGGGGAGTTTGAAACCCAGTGATCTGCCAGATACGTACCCGATGACCCTCTGCTGGGGAGTAGGTGATCCAAGCCATGTGTACCTGCGTATACCGCGCAGGTGTAAGCCTCCCGAGGGGAGGGAAAGAAGGGGGGGAGGGGAGCTCCGCGTGAAAAACCGGCGTCGACTCTCTGCTTCGGCATGTCTGGCCGCTCGGAACAAGGAGACCGAGAGTGAAGTTTGAACTTCAGCGTCCATCCACCGACAGCTCCGGCTCCACCAACGCCCCAGTAATATGTGATCGCTCCGCGTGGCACGCGTCCCAGATGGAGCAAGAGTATCCTTTTGGGGGTGGGGGAGAAGAAGGAGGTTGGAGGGACGGAGGGGGGGTGTTGGAAGAAGTCGGACAGTCCCCCCCCCCCCCCCCCCCCCCCCCCGAGGTGGGGGACAAACAAGCAGACGCAACAGTGTAGAGCCTTGTGCCAGCCCCCCTCCTCCTCCTCTTCGTTAAAAAAAGAAAAATGCTTTTGCATCTCCCACCGAGAGATCCTCGTGCGCACCCACCAATCCACATATTCATCCTGGAAGGTGACGCGGAGAGAGAGAGAGAGGGGTGGGGAGAGGAGCCCGCTGTTGCCCCACTGGCCACGCTGTCGCCCCGGTACCACGAGCAGGATATTCCCAAACAGCTGGAGGCAGCAGATATATGCTGCTGCGCCCCCGCGCTGGGGCCCTCCCCAAAATGGACCGGTGCGAAGTGGTCACCTGGTTATTTTCAGCGCGTCACTGGCTCGTCTCCAATTAGAGTTTCTCGTCGGAGGAGCGCAGCGGTGTGCCCCCCCCCTCCAATCCTCCCGTCAGAGGACTTTTAGAGTAAAAGTAAATAAGAATAAACGGCCAAACAGCGCTGCGCTGAGTAATGAGCACGTGTTTTGCCCGCAAAGCGAACACATTCCAGCCGTGTGTCGGCTCGCCATTGTCCATTTGCGCTGCGCTGCGCACCGCCCCCCAGCCCCCTCCCAGGGCACGCGTCTCCAGCAGCGTCTCCTACTGCGGCGCTCTCCGGAGGTGTTCCCCTGTTTTGGATCATACCGTTCAGGCGGCTACACGCATCCCAGGTTCATCACACCTCTCCCGTTACCTCCCTGAAACCGGCGACACGTTGGCGCGCGGCGACCTCTGGTGGCGGCGGCGCGCCATGACGCTCCATGACGCGCACGTGTCACACAACACTACCTTTGTTTTATTCGTTTATTCCGATCAGACCAGGGAGTCAAAGTTGATGACAGCCCGTGACAGGCTGGATGCTTTGAAGTAGATTCAATCGGCAGCTTCGTTCGCATGTCGTATGGTTTCTATATTATGTTGTGGTTTCTTATCGGTGGCGTTCTATTCTAATTTGACATTTCGCTTTAATTTCTATGACGATCAAATATTTTCATTTAACTATTTTAATCAAATCTTCTTTGATTGTGATACATTTCTATTGTGTTGTGTTGGCCACACTCCACTTTCATTGCTCGAGGTGTCGCTCTCGGGAGTCAGCTGCTCCATGAGACAAGAAGCCCACAATAACTCCGGAAAATGGCCCATTTTCTTTTCAAAATAAAATAAATCCTGTGCCGCTTTTTGCTTAAGGGGCCATTGTTTGTGTAAATATGGGCACTACTTTGTGTCTTTGGGTGTTACGTTCCTTCTTCCTTGTGCGTTTTTATTAGCTTATCAATCATAATTAACATCATATAGTCATAGACTTTAGCGGAAAACTGTTTTATGTTAAAGGGTTGAACCGGAAATCATGTGTATGTTCAAAGGCTAACTTGAAGAGAAATAGCAACGTCCGACTTTGTAACTGTCAGGATTAGGCCCGGCTTCTTATAAAGAACATTTTCCACCACGCCAGCAACAGCAGGACGGATGTTGATCTTTGTCATCTTCATCATCTCATTAACATCTGACACCCCGGGGTGAGTCTCGAGTCCGTCAATCAACGTCATCGCAGTTTGATGTGTGCGTACAACAGGAGCCCAGAATGCTTCCTCCTTTCCAACGCAGGTTCCCTTTGCACTGCACATTCTCAGTTTATTGATGAGACCAAATCAAGTCAGAGCACGAGAGGCCAGTCCAAGTTTATTGATACTGGCATGACGTCAGAGGGGGAGGGGGGGTAAAGACCTTCTGTGTTGATCTGCATCTCATCAAGTCAGGCATACACATTTGTTTTACTTGAAGTAATAATAACGTAGCGGTGTTCATGGGAAACCCTGTTAGGGCTTTCACGTTTCAAGTATTTTTTTCAATTAAACCGAATAAATGCATTTCAGTTGAGTAAGGAGAACCCTCATATGCTTTTATTCTCGTATGGTACTGAAATACTGCACTGGAGTAAATTGACCTCATGGTTGAGCTTAATCAAATGACAACACAAACCCCAGAAGCGTTGTTGCAACAGGATTTCTGCCTCACAGTTATTTTCCTTCACTCTTCCCACACGCCAGTGTTGCAGTGATTGTACAATCCTCTCAGGATGCTCTCTCCTCACAGCACCGTGCCCCCCCCCCCCCCCGTCTCTCTCTCCCTCCGTGCAGTGCAGTGGGGACCAATAAGCGGCGGATGCGGCTGGCGCCCGGCTGCGGGCGGCCCTCTCAATGGTCTCTCCCACTATGAAAGCGTTGGTGGATGCCGCCTGGTTGGTGTGGAGCGTCGGGGCCTCCGTCTATGACTACATCCACACCAACGCCATGGAGGAGCGCATTAACACCCTGGAGGATGTCATCACAGTCCACCAGTGTGCCATCGGGCTTCTGTCCGCCGGCATTTTGGTGCTCTTCACCTACATCCTCCTCAAGAAGCTCTGAGGAGGGTGTGAAGCAAACACTGACCACACAGACGCTACATCTTCCTAATACATCTAAATCTTTCTCAGGTTTGATACAAAGAAATAGTTGGCATAGAAAAATGATTTTAGAAGCAGTAAACTGGTCAATGTGTGTTATTTTAATAGATACTAGTTAAGTAAAACGCCTTATACTTAAAGCTTTTAGTATGCGTCATGGTACTTCACCTATTTGCTAAAGGGATCATTATTTTTTGTAACAAATCTCTAAATGTTTTCATCCGATCCGTCCATGTGAACGGTACATGTCAGGAACGCCTTGATCCAAAGTCTTCAATCTGCCACAAAGGTCCACGTGGACTCAAGGTTGAACCGACTAGTTTGGTGAGTAAGAGTCCAGCTTACCGTGACCTGAAATGAATTCCATGTTTTAAGTATGCTAATTGTCAGTTCCACCCAAATGATATCTGACATATGGCTGTAAACTGTTGTCTTATGAAAGAAATCACATCTTAAAATGCCTTGATAGAACTGTATGGGTGCATTATTTGTATTAGAGTCCATTATCTATTTATATAAACCTTTTACCTCGTAGTTGATAGATTCCACTGTTGGCACACAAAACAAATTGAGGTTTTTGGTGTTAACTATTGAAATGTCTAACCAGTGCTGCTTGATATTTATGGATATGTTCTTTTTAAGGCTGTATTTCTTACCATGAAAGTGAATCTTAATCATTTTAACTTAACTAACCTGCAAAGAGAAAAGTTGTGTTTTATTGACTACTAATGTTGTGTATCCCGAGTTTTCTGTGTGCATTTACTTCCATCGTCTCAGATGGACCAAAACAGAGAAACACCAAGAATAAAACGGTTTTAATATATTGTCATGGCAACATAACGAGTGTCCTCTCAAAGAGTCAAATTAAGGTTGAATTCATCTGAAACTGCACATTCTTACAATACAACATGTGACCAGCATCAGTCTGGTATGAAATGCAGCACCAATGGCTGTAAATGAAACGGGAAAGTTTGAATTACAATTGTATGATGTAGAATACGGCTGCAAGTATCAGAAGCTTAATCAATAACAACTTATTTTTAAATGGACAGCAAACTTCAGAAATTGAGTTGCTTTCAACTGGAAAATTGAAGTATTACAAAGGGTTCGAGCAGCGACCGTTTCCAGGACCGGGGGGGGGCAACACCTGCTCCTCCGCCCGATGAACTTCTCCACAGATTGTGAACGTACTGCGGCGCCTCATAAGTGTCCGGTCTGAAACAGCGTGTACTTATAAGTGAAGCTCTCCACGCTCGCCCCCTCCAGGAACTTCATGGCTCTCCAGTGGATCTTGCCGCAGTTCTCTGGCTGTCCGAGGGGACCCAGCTCCTCCTGGATGTACTGCAGCCACAGATCTTTGGCAAAATAACAGAAAACATTTGAATATTCAAAAACTAGAAGAAAAAAACGGCACTGTTTGTTTGATGGAAACTTTGTATGTCACTGGTACTTGATTAACCAGATATTGTGATTAAATATTTTCAACTAATGCAGCTTTAAGGCCTCACCATCATCCGAGGTACCGAACTCCTGCAGGGCTCTCTCATAGTAGTCCCTCAGACTGTTCATCTTGGGAGTCTCCTGGAATAGACAGAAAGTGTTATCACACTGGTCTCTGCTTACTGCTAACCCAAGTCCACCATCTGCCGCCGCAATTCCTTTTTTAAGTCTTCTGAAACATTCAGAGTCAATATTATGTGTTCTCCACCTAAATCCTGACCGAGGAGCAGTTGTGCCGAACGTACTTGTTCCTTCTCGATCTCAATCATCCTGGTGAAGAAGGCCTTGGACAACGGACGGTTTTCTTTCAAGCTGGATAAGAAAAAAAATATCATTACAGCTTTGTCACAAGAAACTTCTGAGTCTATTTCGCATTCCAGGCAGTGTTTTTCCTCCAAATCCCGTTGCATTCCTGTTGCCACTATTTATCATTGAAATAAACAACACCAAGAGCGAAGGGATTTTTTTTTTTTTTTTACCTCGTAAAGGTCGTCCTTGCTTTCTTGTAGCCTCCAGTGGAGTACGACCAATCGAGGTAGCTCTCTTTAATCTCCATGGAAACTGCCGCTACTGTAGACAGCAGGCCTCTCTGGGGAAATAGCAGGAGAACAAACTCTTCAGAGGCGTAAAGGGCTTTACATATCTGTGGAGAGCGCTAACCGCTCTTACGGATTTCAGTTCCTTAATGCAGGAGTTCTGCAAACCTTTAACCAATTACAACGGATTCCCGCCAGTCGTCATTCAAGAAACACACACACAAGTCTAAAGGCCGTGACAAACGCCTGGTTTGTTGCAGTGACGGTGTGGTAATAGTAGACTACCTTGAAGACATCGTCCGTCTCCTCGGGACTCTGGTTGGCCACGCTCCACTGGACCTGCAGCTGCCACAGCGGTAGACTCTCCTGTCAAAATTGAATAAATGTTACTTTTAACGCTTTGATGCCTTTCATTTAAGCTTGTAAACTTTAACAACTGTGAAAAATTGAAATTTCATTTTAAAAGAAACCTAGAACTGCGCAGGGATCATACCAGGCTTCTGGGTTTGTATCCTTGCGTTTAATCTCAAACCACAGTGCTCAGGTCAAAGTCAGTGGAAATCAACATCCAGGTGGATCAAGAAAGCCTATTCACTCATTTCCTTCATATATCCACGTCTCCTTCTGCGCTGCCTACTTACCGAAACACTGAAGGGTTTATGACATTTCCCAACAGTCCAGGAGAGTTTATCTTGAGACTAAAGACCTGCCTAATGAGCAGCGCAGCGTAATCCTGCTCACACAACTACTTCTCAGGGCCACTTGTGAAGCCCCCCTCTAACCAGATATCCTGCTCACTACTGCAAAAGCTCTGAGTCAAAGTGTATTCAAGGTGTAAGGGGGTAACCCAAAGAATAGGAAAGAAATGTGTGGCATACTGTGTTTCTTATAAAACAGTCGCCCTCTGATGGGGTTCCTGTAGTAGCTTCGCTGGCAGCGGCGCCCTGATGTCTGCTTCCTTTAGCACGGCTCATTAACGCCGCTGTGTTTGAAGTATATACACATTACTCACATTCTGCTCGTCCCGGGTCTTTGTTTGTAAAGTAACTCATGACATGCACGTTTCCATATGTAGACGACCATGGTTAAAACTCTGGGACAATGGATAATTCCTGAGCTAGTTTTTACAGCCACCGGACTTCATTTACCGGTCATGTTGAATTAAGATAATATGTGATTCACGTTGAATTAAGATAACAGGTGGCCTCTAATGACAAATAATTACACAAGCTATTTAGCGTCGGGCTTCATCTCGTACGGTTGCTTTAAGTGCGTGAAGCTTTCCTCACATGAGGAAAGGGGTGGGGGGAGGCCATTTGGGGGACTTTATTATAATGAAATAGAGACTAATTGGGTCACTAATATGGGCCACTCATACAGCAGTGCTGCTGGCTTTTCTGTGTGTGTATGCGAGGGTGCACGTCCTTTTCAAAGTGTCTCCATCCTCCGGGGAAAACCATTATACTTGTTCAGTGGGAGCACAGCAGACGAGGCGTATGAGCTCCGCGTGCGCGGCAGAAAACTGCAAAGATCTGCGATTGAGGACAAACTATGAAGTCAACCTGCGTGTGATTGGTCGGTGTACCTTGGGATTGACGAGTGCGAGAGCCTCCTGGAATAGCCGGCCCATGTCTCCACTCCCCAACTGCATCAGCGTCTGCAGACTCAGGCTCCACACTGACACCGACTGGCTGTGGCGCTGCGTGGCTGCCATGGCAACGCTGGCCGCTCTCTCAGCATCTCCCGTGGAGAGCAGCATCTGCAACTTTATTTAACCAAAGAGAAAGTCACAGATGGAAATTCCTCCCATTTCCCTTTTTTTAATTACTATCCTTCAACTTTGATTCTGCAGCTAAATTAATCCGTAGCTAAGCAGATAGTAAACAGTGGACGTCAACAGGAAATGTGTGTCATGCATGGAAGAAAAAAGGGCCAACTAGTTTTAAAACCAAGACGGCTTGTGTTTTTGCACATAGGCCTCCTACAATCACCTTTAAACAAAGCCATTATCTTACCCAGTTCTTGTAATAACCTTCTTTCAGCAGTGAGGAGTCGTGGGCACGCTGCAGCACTCCCAGAAGCCTCTGCTGCCTCTGTAACACACACACACACACACACACACACACACACGTAAACAATCCCCCTCTAACAACTCTGACGCCTGTGACGTTATCTTTTTTCTGCACTTACCTTTTCCCTCAGCTCGTCGACATTGGTCTTTCTCTTCAGCCTTTCCAAGCAGAAGGTCACATAGGACGACCACATGGGCTCTAGGTTGCAGGGCACAGCAACAGCTGCTTAAATACGTGCATCAAGCCAAACAGCGAACACAACGTTGTAAAAAAATACTGTTAATCTAAAGCACATGAATTGGAAAGGAATGTGTCTCTGCATCGTAATTAAAACGCCACTGTATTTTTTACTGCTTTCAATACTTTGGATGACTGTTGTACTGAAACTTCACACAGGTAGTGATTTAGGAAAATAGCCCAAATAAGCACGTGTGTGTTTGAGCCCCTACCGGTGTTGAGGCTCTTGACCCCCTCCTCGTAGACCTGGCAGCACCGCTCCTCTCGGCGGTTGATATCCGCGGCTCGGCCCCTGGCGGTCAGCAGCTCCTCCCCGGCCACCGAGGCCTCCAGCTCCCTCTTAGCCATGAAATCCCACGTCAGGCTGTCGGCTGTGTAGTTAGTCTGTAAGCTGCGATACGACACTTGTGTTTAGCAGTGAAGTTGTGTTGGAGTTAAAAAATGAAATGGAGGAGCACGCTGGGGCCTCACTCTTGCAGGATGAAGTCCTGGAGTTCTTTGGTGAAGTCGAAGATAGCGGCTACGTTCAGAAGTGAGATGACGAACTCTGCTTCTGTTGGACCAAAAAAAAGAAAGGAAAGACCATTAGGTACAAAGGTAGTCGGACATTTGGCAGAGTTGGTCTCACGTCAGTTTCATGAATACGACAGAGAAGTTAGCTTAGCATAGCATAAAAGTGTAAAACGGCTGTCCAAAAGTTACCCAAAACACTTTAGTATAATCTTGAAAAAGACAGTGTGAAGACAACAGTTTGTGGTTTGACGGGAAACCTGTGACATATTTTCCAAATAAGACTCAAACCATTTCACTTCAATTCTTATCTTCTCCAATGTATCATTATTCTTACTCAATGTACAAATAACTCATACATATTGATTAAGTTTATGATGAATGAGGAAACTCAATATCGGTTTTCATTAACAGAACTGGAGATCAACTTAAAAAAAGAAATACAACCGCCTACCTTTGATTTTCCCCGTAGATTCTCGGTACACAACCTCAGCCAGTTTGCCAGTGAGGATCTCTGCAGAAAACTCATATTCACCCTGTAGGCCAGGGGTGTCAAAGTCAAATGGACGGAGGGCCAAATAAAAAATTTAGCTACAAGCCGAGGGCCGGACTGTTCGAATGTTCATTGAAAAATTTTTAAATGACGCATATAGTCTAGTGAACCTAATTGAACCTACTGAAAACCTAACAAATATATTCCAATATGATCAGATAAATAAAGCAATATTTTCTTATGGCTCTGTCAGTAATCTTTAATTTTCAACAGACACAAAAGACAAATTTCCTTTATATAAAAATCCCCATAACATGAACATTAAATGAAAGAAACCGGTATTCAAGGCACCATCAGTAGCCTATATTTTCTATTTTAGCAAAAGTGGGCTAAATTTACTTCAAAGAAAAAAACAATAATAGCAATTTTCTATCATCCACTCAACTGAAATATTTTTAAAATATAATTGGATTGAAATACAATAAAATAAAGTGCAAAAATCTATTAATCAAAAACAACACTTTGTTTAAGGAGAAGTAACATGCAGTGAAAACAAATATTAAACTTTAACTTTTAAACTTGAACTGAGTAAAAACTCTAAATATGTGATTGCACAGTAATGTTCACTTGTTTGAGGTTGAGGGTGATACTTGGTGGTGTCCCATCTTTTCCACAAGTTCATCAATGTTCGGGGTAAGGCTCTGAGCTGAGGAAATCCTCAGAATTGAGTGGAGGTGTTCAGCAGTAAGTCGACTTCTGTGTGATGTTTTGTTCAAGTTCATCAAAGAAAACAGTTGTTCACACAGGTATGTGCTGCCAAACATAGACAACGTTTGAGCAGCCTGGATGCGCAGCTGGGGCATTGTGTCGGGGAGGAAACGGGCGAACTCCGCAGCACCCACTGCCGCATATTTTGCCCTCAGTGCATCATTGCATTGGAGGTCAATCAACTCCATTTGGAGGTTTGGTGGTGAGCTTTCCACGTCAACAGCAAATGGGTTACCGAGCAGTTCCAACCTGCTTTTTTGTGCTTCAAAGTCAGCAAATCGGCGTCGAAAGTCAGCGGCAAGCATACCTATTTTATCAGCCAACTGTGCGCTCGGGAACGCAGATTATACTCTTTCAGTACCGCCACACTTTCTCCACACAGAAGACACACAGGTTCCAGCTACCTCCGTGAACAAATACTCCGACTCCCACCTTGTTTGAAACCCCCGGTTCTCAGTGTCCACCTTCCGTTTTGCCATTTTTGATGGGTATCTGAAAGTTAATTTTACTGTGATGCTGACAACTGCTGTGCCAATAAATATTGAAATGAAGCAGCCTACTGCTCGGTGCGTCACCGTTGCATTGTGGGAAATGTAGTATTGGTGCGTGTAAAAGAACTGCGGGCTGCCGGCTTGCTGCGGTCTGCGGGCCGTTCTAATAATAAATCAAGATCATCCCAGGGGCCGTAAAAAACCTTCTCGCGGGCCGGATGTGGCCCGCGGGCCTTGACTCTGACATATGTGCTGTAGGCAATGAAGAGAGGAGTATTCAAGCACTGCATCCAGCCCTTATGTGCACGTACGAATGGACTTTGGAATAGTTTGTTGAATTTGCGCCACTCACCAGGTCCATCTCGGCTTTCTCCAGCTCTTCCTTCTGCTTCCTCAGTTTCTCGCAATGCAGCAGCTCCATACGAAAGTACTGACATGGAGGTTGTGGGTGACAATTGGAAATAAATATTTGAAAAACACATGAATCACCGCTCTTCCAACGACACCTCCCGCCCCTGCACAGGTGACACATGGCTGCTTTTACCTCCAGGTAGACTTTCTTGTCTTCGGGATGGAAGCGCAGAGCCCTCAGAAATAAGTGTCTGGCACTTTCAGAGGAGTTTCTATCCTCCAGCTCACTCTTGGCTGCCAGGATCCACAGGGCTGAGAGAAGAGGGCGAGTGTGCACAACGTCACGGCTCATAACGGTTCATATTCACTTTGTTAGAATGGACTGAAAAGCAGAATCCTGTGTACCTGGTTTGTCGGGGTGTATAGCGAGCAGGGATGAGAACACCTTGCTGATTTGGCCTTTGGTGGACTAATGAGAGACGCCCGGACGGACATTGTTAGAACAAGCGGTGCTTAAAGTTGTACTTAAAAATAAAATGGTAAGATAGTTACATACCCATTTCTTACAGAAAGCAACGTGAGAGAGCCAAAGCTGCACGTCGTCCTGTTGAAAGACGGCATGTCAGTCAGGCAGCCAGAACTATCTAAACTATCTATGTCTCATTCTGTTAAAAAGGCAACGTGGAGTCAAAGAAAACGATTTGCACGAGAGCCTCAAAAAGTCCTTATCAGTTGGATTGAGAGCAAATCATCCCAAATACATTGACAATTTCTCATAAAATAAAATGGTTTGTACGGTACCTTCCACTTGTTTGTCGCTCTTCTGAAGACGCTGTTTATTCTATGGATGATGGGGAACTCGATCTCCTCTCTTTTGAACTGGTAGTGTATGTGCTGCAAAGCAAAGCGAGGCCGGGTCAACTAGTGCCACATCATCTCAGAGAAAGCTGATCGGCACGGATGTTAAACAAAAGGTTCGTGACAAAAACACGAGCACAATGTGTCATGCCAATATTCCTTTGAATGGCAGACAACAAGCAAACCACCTACCGCTCTTCTCTTCTTGATCAACTCCAAAATGTTGATTTCATACTGTGAAATAAAATTAAATGTGTCAGTGTGCATTTATTAATTAAAAACGTAACAAAGACAATACATGGGTCACATGATGAAGGAGCCCTACCTGAATGTATGCGATGAAGTCATCCTTGTTTACGATCAACCTGTGAAGCTTGTACTCCAAAGCCGTTGCTCTCTTGATTATGGATCTGAAATAAAATATGATGAAATATTTAAATCTCACGAATCAGAACCGTTGTACATTTTTATGTGAAACCGTACCTACAACTTGAATTTGCCATTGGATCCACTCTGTAGTGGAGAGGTCAATGACACAGTAATAACCAACGTTACATGACAGAACAGATGTGTTTGTCCCTCCGTATTCCTGCCAGATGTTGCCTTAAATGACATGTAACGCCTTACTTGACTTCTTTCTTGGTGAACAGTCCCACTCTCTCCAGCTGCTCCAGCTCGGGGATCCGCTCCTCGATCCGGTGCTGAACGATCTCCGCCATCTTGACGACGAAGCCGTTACGGGTTCACGTCCGACTGTTTCTTCGCGGATATTAGGTGGATCAACGCCGCTTTAAAAAGTAACTACGATGCGACTGCAAGCATGGAATCTCTCTCTCACGTGTGTGTGTGGGTGTGAAAGTTTTGATTGGCCGCGTTTCCGGTTCCGTCTGTAAATGGCTCCGTCGGGAAACACGATCGAACGTCTTCTTTTACTTCTTTTTCCTCTTTTTCTTCTTCTTTTGCTTTTAATGGCGGTGGGCGCGTTATTGCCACCCACTAATGTGAAGTTTGTTTTTTTATACGCAAAATAAATATCTTATACAAAACCAAACAATGACAATAAAATGAATCTTCAGGTTATATTCATTACTCTTGTTGATTTAGCACTGAAACGTTTCTTTAATACATTAATAATATTTCCCTCACTGAATCGTACCTCCGATAGAACAATAAAACATTGTCCACAGTTAATTCTTCTTCACAGAATTCACACTTTCCATTATTATGTTTTCTTATTCCATAAAGGGGAACTATTAAGACTAGTGTTGCCATTTCTTGGTCTTGTCATAATCTCCCCTTTTCTGCTTCGATAGATATCTTACTTGTCTAATTATTCTGCCATAGTTGATTTGTCCCTAAATCACTACTATAGGTTTTGACCTACTGATGTTTAAATTAACAATATTTCTCTCACTCATCAACGCGCTTTAGGCTGCTTTAAACGTCTTCTCATTGCTATTGACTCATGGGCCGGGACCCAAACAAAATGAAGCACCATCCGCATTTGCTGGATTCTGGGTGGAGATTGTAGTATCTCATACAGTAAATCCTCTTTTCTTCCTGAGTGGCACAATTTCGAACCTTGCACTTCGTCTGAAGCAATCTATTTGACCTGACGTCCACGATCCACAGTAAGGCAGTGCCCATCATCTCACATGAAAACACAGATAAATCATCACTGAGTATTGTAATGGTAAAAATATGTTACAACATTGTCTTGTGCTAAACCTGTGTCTCAAGTGTCTGTGTTTGACCCTGATGTGCAAAAGCAGAAAAGATTTAAGGTTTCCATATGCAGCTGTGTCTGAAAAAGGGAGTTAACTTGCTCTCACAGGCGCTCGTACAAAGGAGCAGTGTGTGTTACCCTCATCTTAACCGTGGTTCTTATCTCGACTTGGTTTGCAAATTCTCGTACCTGCCACTGAGAATGGCCTTCCTATATGTATAAAACTCAGCGTTTTTACTGCTCGGAGACGCCATCTCCACAGAGCACTGTGATACGTGCTGGTGTATTTGGCCTCCTGCTTGCAAGTAATAAATGGACTTTTTGCAACTTTGATCATTCATCAAGACTCTGTTTTTTAATTAGATAAATCCTCCTGATGCATGATTTCAAGATCTTACTGTTTCCCCCACATTCATCTTTCATCAGCTCAAGGTGTTCAGGCTGTGGCAGTATGGAAGAGTTGCCGGCAGAACCAATACCTCTTATCCAATATACTCACTATATCCTTCTCCTTAGCGACCCATCCAAAGCTCTGATTAAGCGTCTGGATGGCTAAACAAAATTAAATGCTGCAACATATTCAGATCCATCATTTAAATCGCACAAAATAACACATGTATTAGTCAAAAAAGTAAAAGTAAATGCAACATTGTTCATTGTGGGGATTATAAAACAAAAACAATTTAACAAAGTCAGAAAATTAATTTTGAATATTTTATTGAACCTTATCAAAGGTCTAGGAGATGTAACAGGTTCCTCAATGAGCATATGGACCCAAGAACACATCAAAAATGTACTTTATGTTGCAAAAAAGAAATATTACATTTTCAATGCCCATGTAGCCTGTACCTGTATCATGCACACCTATTCATTTATGCTGCAGGTAGAGTTAAGTTTAAACGAGAATGTGATTGTATGAGATATATGATTAAGTGTGCCACTACTATTTTAGTTTAACTATTTTGTGTAAATTACAATGTTCTGACCTTCTTTCCATATAATACAAATGGCACAACACCGTATAATTACTGTGGTACTACTACCCAGAATTTACACGAATAATAACTGTCATCTCTTGACAGTCGCAGATGATTATAATAGGAGAATACAGTTACAGCTGCAGGGTTTTCTTCAGGAGAAATCTGATTACCTCGATTTCCCGCAAAATCGCAGCAAGCGAGAGCGGGCGGTGTGTCGTCCCCGCAGGTCAGCAGCCAATCACAGCGCTGGATTGTCCGAGCCCGTCTCCTATTGGCTCACGACTGACTACAGCTCTGTTGTTCAGTACGAATTGAAGGAGCCCACACCGACAATACGTTACAGATAGATTATCTACAATGATATCCACAACACTCTAACCATCCCTGATATATATAACGATATTCGTGACTGTTATTTGCGAGTCTCCGACATACGGAGGTTTGTTTTCTAGTCAACCATGCTAACATTGCTAGCTAACTAGCCAGCGTCTCGTCGCCTCCTCTTCACCTCCATGGCTTTCTGCTGTTGAGCCTGTCAGGCTTGTGCTTGAGGCAGCGAGGCTAACAAATTAATGCCATCAGCCAGGGTGGGTCGCCGTTATTCATGACCAGTGTTTACGACAGTGCCGATTTTTAAAAATCATTTTGTGTTTATCGCGGCGTGAATGAACGAGTGGCTACTAAGTTACGCCGAAATACCAAGCGAACTTAACGTTAACGCGCTAGCGTTGCGCTCTTAGCGGAGCTAACGTTAGCTAGCGCGAGCGTTTTCCAACTGGCTAACGTGCCCCCGATTGTCCCGTTACGGTGTTTCTTTAATTAGCATGTGCCGTTGTTTCGCGCGCAGAACTCCGGTCATACTATGAGCGGGGCGAGTTGCAAAGCTAACGGCGCCGTGTACCCCGCCTCGTCGGCGATGATGAACTCCGTGAAGAAGCCGAAGATGGAGCAGATCCAGGCCGACCATGAGCTCTTCCTGCAGGCCTTTGAAAGTGAGCTTTTCTTTAACCACCCTTCACCCAGCAGTGCTACTTTTTCTTTTTCTCTTTCTCGTAACGTCAGAAGAACTTTCCGACGCAGTCAACAGGCTTACAGCAGTTAACCGCTTAACTTTATGGGGACTGGTTTTGTTTTTAATAATTGCTTTTGGCTGACAGGCCGCCCTCGTTTATCTGCCTCCCCCGAGGGAGTTTTATATTGTTTGTTTTAACTCAGCGGATCTTCTGCTAACTGTATTCACGTAGCAGTGATCACAGTGGAAACCATCAAAACTCATAGACTTTTGGTTGGTAAGTTATTGGGTGTTTTACAGCCACCACCTGTTAACACCCCCTTTTATTCGGGGATGTTTAAGCAATGAGATTATTTTATTTTTGACACAGCAAAATGGATCGACCACAGAATGGATGTTCTAATGTTTCAGATTTTAGTGGGTTCGTTTTTAAACGTATTGTGAAAACACAGTGATGTCATCGTGTCCAATGAAAATACCACAATCACAGTTTTTTCCCCCTGCTATTTACAGAACCAACTCAGATATACAGATTCCTTCGCACAAGGAATTTGATTGCAGTGAGTGAATTACTGAGCTATATTTTCAAATGAACATATCTATTCAATAGCCCACTGAAAATCAATGATTTAATGAATTCCCATTTCCTTCCGTTCCAGCCCATATTTTTGCACAGGACGCTGACCTTCATGTCTCACAGAAACGGACGATCAAACGCCAGAAGGTAATGAGATCTGATGACGTGATTTCTGATGACATGTTTTAAATCTCATTTCTGTTCAGCCACAAAAATTAATAGATTACTTCTGTACGCTCTCTGCCTTGTGTTCCCTTCTACCAGGAAAACATTCAAAGTGGATGCTATGTTGCAGACAGTCGAGCGGGTGAAAGGAGAGCAGGATTCTCTAAGGTAACAGCTGGGTACTTTTGAGGGGAAAACAAAATCGAAAAATAAATCCTATTGACATCATCTGTGACCCCTTATATTACTAGTTGTATCACTTGGTATTACCCAATTTCACCTGTGCGTTTCTTCTTGGTTCCTCAGTTTGTCATCACATCTACAGTTAACCTTCACTGGGTTCTTCCATAAGGATGGTAAGCAGACTTTACTCAATGCTTATGTGGAGCCTATTTGTGCAATGGGAAGTACTTCCAAATGCATAAATAAATGGGCAGAAGTAAAGAGGTTTTGTGTTTATCTTCAAGCTTCTACTTTTACGATCATCAGGCCCATAACCTGTTGATGTTGCATGACATTAAGGCCTTTGTTCAGGTTTCTGATCTTTCTATGTTATTACGCAACATAGTGGCTGATATGAAAATGATGGGGTTCTCCATCTTGGATGGAAACCTCAAATAAGACCCAAAACCCAATGATTAGTATGCCTGTGAACGCGCTCATTGTCCGTATTGTTCAAACACACACTGGTAATGGTGACAGCAGGGACCGGGATTGTTGTTGTGCTACAAAGGGATTGACTCCTCCCCCTTTTCCCCATACAGAAAAGCCATCTCAGAATTCCGAAAATGAACAAAATTCTGTGTCCTTAGAGGTGCTACTTGTCAAAGTCTGCCATAAAAAACGCAAGGTAAAGTCCAATATTCTCATGGCAGCTTTAGCAGCAAGTAGCTCAATGTTACATAATGTTCTGTTCTGTCAAATTGAGTGTGTTTCTTCTCCCCCCTCCAGGATGTCAGTTGCCCGATAAAGCAAGTGCCTACAGGTAAAAAGCAGGTGCCTTTGAATCCTGACGGTAACCAAACCAAGCATGGATCCTACCCTTCCTTACTGGTCTCCAGCAACGAGTTTGAGCCCAGCAACAGCCACACGGTCAAGTCCTACTCGCTCCTCTTCAGGGTGTCGCGCACAGGGCGGAGGGACGCTGTTGGTCTGGTCAATGGAGAGGCCAACGAGAACATTGGTAGGAATTCCACCAGCGAAGCCCTTTTCATCTTCTGATTTGGCTGCACAAGTACCGTTTCCGTTGGGATGAATTATTTAACGGTTAATTTAGTTCTATCAGCGTAGGGAGACTGATGGCTCAGTAGAGAGCCACAGGAGGCTGCTGGTCTTTGTCCAAGCACAGCAGTTGGATAATAATGTGAGATGGCTGCTGTTTCGAAATGTCTCACTCTTATTCTTGTGTATTTTCATTCTGTTTTATTTAAAGATGTAATAGATACTCCCAGTAGGAAGAAGAGGAGTTTATCTCATAGAGAGGAGGGCGAGACCACGGAGACCTTCGTTGCACAGATGACCGTCTTTGATAAGAATAGGTACGGTTTCCTTTTCACGTTTTGAGGGCGACTTTTTTGCAGTTCCTTGGTTTGGCTCCGTGAAAGTCACCTGACTGGTTCTTTGCAGGAGGTTACAGCTGCTGGACGGGGAGTACGAGGTGTCGATGCAAGGGATGGAGGACAGTCCCGTCAGCAAGAAGCGAGCTACGTGGGAAACCATTCTGGATGGAAAGGTGAGGAGGTGCTCTACAAAACAGCACCTGTTTTGATGAGGATGCAGTTTTTCAGGCTCTGTTTCGTAGCTTTTGGATTTCCTTTCCTCATCGCTGACCGTTTCTCTCTCTCTGACTCCCCCACAGAGACTGCCGCCGTTTGAGACATTTTCTCAGGGACCCACATTGCAGTTCATGCTGCGTTGGACCGGAGACGCTAGCGGGAAGTCCACTGCCCCCGTGGCGAAGCCCCTCGCTACGCGCAACTCTGACAGCTCAGGCCCCATGGAGACCAGAACCAGCAACCACAGAGCCGCCCTCATGAGTGAGTAGGACCACCGCGGTGTAGCTTCACCTCTCTGAAGAGCAGGCTGGCTGAGAATGGGATGTTGGGGGGGTTGTGATAATGGCGTTCTGTGGAAACATCATCTTTTGCAAAAAAGAAGAATTACATTTAGTCCCATGTTGGAGCAGAGGAGACATCCATAGTTAAAGAAGGAAGGAGCGAACATAAATACTTCTACAGTGATTCTGCTTTTATTAACTGGCTGGACAAGTACACCAGTACAGAACATTCAGTACAGAGTAAAGCTGAATGGGTCATATTGCTGTAGGAGTCATTGAGTCACAGCACAGCTGTTGAGTCCTTTTGAGACTTGCTCTTGACTTGTCACTCTTTTGAATAAAGAAATGTCTCGCTGCAAGTCATGACGCATCAGTAAGGAACAGCATGCGGTGTTTCCCCTGGTGTCTGTTTTTCTTTTTCAACATTCATCACTGATGAACCTTTTGAAAGACCTGTAAACACTCCAAAAAATGTTTGAAATCTCTCATTACATTCAGGCTGTGATGGAAATGTCCTGTGGAAGATGAAGCCTGAAATGTTCCATGTCTGAAAGAGGCTTTAGCAAAGTGATGTGTGGATGTTCTGGTCCAAACTGTTATATTTCAATGTTTTCTCACATACACGTTGAGTGTATGACATGAATTTGTTAACCTTTCCATCTGTTCCCGTCGGCAGTGAAAGAGTCGGTGAGTACAGACATTCAGACGAGGAAAGAGCAGGTCCTGTGTGAGCCGCGACAGAAGCTCCGTATATTTTATCAGGTACACGGCACCACAGTAAGCCACACGCCCGCCCCTGGGACACACTGACTCACATGGACCCTTTGGGCAGGTGGCTGAAATGCAAAATGTCTGTTTTTGTTTTTAAATGTGTTTTGGACCGTTCCATTTATGGACCGCAGAGCGCAACATTCCCACATCTGCTGGAGGTGGACCCTTTCTGTTTTGCTTCGTAACTAACGTGATCTGTCCGTGTTCAGTTCTTGTACAACAATAACACGCGGCAGCAAACAGAGGCAAGAGATGATCTTCACTGTCCCTGGTGTACCCTGAATTGCAGCAAACTCTACAGCCTGCTCAAACACCTCAAACTCTCCCACTCCCGCTTCATCTTCAATTATGTGGTAAGGAGCCCGTTGTGGTCATAATTATTCCCAAGATGCCTCACCATTTCAAAGAGGTGTGCAAATGTGTCGTAATGTTGGCATGAAGTGCAGGCTTGCCCATTCATTTCACTGATTCTTTTTTAATGTTTTTATATAAATGTGCAGCCTCACCCCAAAGGAGCCAGGATAGACGTGTCCATCAACGAGTGCTATGACGGGTCTTACGTTGGCAACCCTCAGGACATCCACAGCCAACCTGGCTTCGCTTTCAGCCGCAACGGCCCCGTGAAGAGGACCGCTGTAACTCACGTCCTGGTTTGCAGGTAAACTACAACGCTGCTGGAAAAGCCGGAATAACGTGTTTAAATGAAGTGAGACGAACTGATCATGAGCAGTGATCAGAACTTAATTCTCACCCAAAATGTAGAAACCAGTGTTGAGGTCATCGAGGTGTCGCTACACGCGATATTTAACAAGTGAGATTAAATTCCCAGCGTTCGCAGTGCTCATAAAGGGATTCGCTGTGTCCTCTAGGCCCAAGAGGACCAAACCGAGTCTGTCCGAGTTCCTGGAGACTGAGGACGGAGAGTTGGAGCAGCAGAGGACGTACGTCAGTGGACACAACCGCCTCTACTTCCACAGCGACAGCTGCATGCCGCTGCGGCCCCAGGAGATGGAGGAGGACAGCGAGGACGAGAGGGACCCGGAGTGGCTGAGAGAGAAGACTGGCACGGTGAGAGGCCCTTCACTCATGGCGTGAATTGAGTAGCCCTCCCCCCCACACACACACACACACACACACACACACTCATGGAGACGCAGGATCGTAATGTACTCTTCAGCTCACGCCGTGATGCTTTGTAGCGACGTGGACTGCAGGAGGTCGAGAAGCACAGAGTTGTGACAGGAAAGCTGTGTCATCGGTTACTATCATGGAATAAAAATGGTGGTGTTTCTGCAGTGCCAAGAGAATGAAGGGGGGGATACTCATTCTGCCCCCCCCATAAATAACTTCTGCCAACACTGTACGCTCCCTCGGCCCGCTCTTACACTTGTTTACAGCATGTTGATCACTTCAGTATTGATTCCCTGTGACTTCTGGCTTTACATGCAGTAGTTAGTCTTCATCAAGGTCCAAAGAGGAACTGTCCCATTCCTCTCCGAGGTATTGACGGTGCCGTGAGTTCTTGTGTCCCGCGCCCCCATAATTGTGTCTGTTTGTAAATGTAGTCTTTTTTTTTTATTTGTTATACAGCAACTGGATGACTTCACCGACGTCAACGAGGGAGAGAAGGAAGTGATGAAGCTGTGGAACCTACATGTCATGAAGTACGGGTACGTGGGAAGTGGTGGTCAATCGCTCCATCTTCCATTTAAATATTCCTTTACACTGAAGTTAAAAGCCCTGGAGGGAGTGGGGGGGGGCGCTTATTGTCGACATTTAAGCAGTTTTCATTCTCAAGAGGTGACTAGAAGTACATGTTTTGACTCGAAGCCCTTAGAAATCCACTTGTACTCTCCGTCTGATTGAGCTACTCGGCTTTAAGACTCTAGGAACTGAGCTCTTCTCTCTCTCCGGTTCCCCCCCCTGGCAGTTTCATCGCGGACAACCAGATGAATCAGGCCATCATGCTCTTTGCGGAGAACGTCGGCGCTCACATCGTCCGTCGCAACCTCTGCCGCAACTTCCTGCTGCATCTCGTCAGCATGCACGACTTCAACCTGGTGAGCACCGCCACCATCGACCGCGCCATGGCCCGCCTGCGGCAGATCCAGCAAGAGCTCCCGGCCGCCGACGCGGAGCAGGACCAGGCTCTGGTTTCAGCGGCGGCCTGCAACGGCAACGCCGTCAGCTCCACGGGGGGGAAGCAGGGCAAGAGGACAAAAAGCTCACTAACGGACTGATGTTGGAGGGATGGAACAACGATTGTTGTGTTTTTGTTTTGGTAGGTTTTTTTCTTTTCTTTTTTCTCCCTTGAGTGAACATTACCAACCGTTTGGCGCTTCGGTCGGTGCAGGAGCTGAAGGGTCCGACCTGGAGCGGACTAGTACACAAGGTAGTACAAGTTTCCGGAATGTGAGAACTGAACCAAATATGAATATAAAAATGAAGCAACGACGTCTGCACGAATCAAGAATTTGAGGGCTGGCGAGTGCGAGTGGAGCCGTAGGAGCTGCTGCAGAGAACAAATGGAGTCCAGCGGTGTGGCACTTTGGTACGTCCGCGTTAGAGACCGCTGCATCCGGACCACAGTTCAAATGTACTGGTAATGTCACTTATGATTATTTGTACACAATAACCTTGTGGAGATCTTCTCCTTTTAGCTGGTTTATTTTTAGCACATGGTGTGTTTGTATTTTAGAAGGCTTACCTTTTTTTTTTTTTTTTACATTGTTTTTATTCATGCTGTTTCCTCTGGTGTCAGTGGGTTTGACATCACTGTGGTGAATGACCGATCGTACGGCTACACTCGTGTCTCGCGTGTGTCGGGACCCCCAACGGGTTGTGCTGGTAGATTGCCATGACAAGCGATGTACTGTAAGCCTCGGATCCCCAACAAGAGCATCATTTCTGTCTGGGTTTGTGCTAAAACAAAAACCCTACTACTCAACCCTAAGCCTTTCGGCCTGCATTGATCACAGCTCAAGGCAAACCAGGAAATAACTTTTTTTCCAAATGATTTACCGTAACAAAAACCAGCACCCCCCCCCTCCTCCCGCGCAGAGTGCACAGCATGTTAAGATCACCTTCACGTTTAATTTCACTTTGAGGTTCGACCAAGTTGCAATCACAAGTGCTTAGTTTTGTTTTTTCCTCTGACATGTGTTTTGAGTACCAGAAGCTTTGACCGAATTGTGTTTACGTGTAATCGCATCAAATGTTGAGCCGTGCCCCGTCGTGACTCCCAACAATAAACAGATTGCTGTTTTTCTCTCATAGCAAAATGCTGTTTATTAGATGGATGGCTTACAGGTCCAAGTCAGTTATTCTGTCTGTCCTGTTAAGTGCAGTTTATGCCAAAGGTGAATATTTTCACCAGTCTCTTGGTTCTGTATATTGTTTAGAATATTTACTTGTGTTCATTCCATTTGTAATTTCATCTGACTTTCCTTGTGAACGACCAAATTAACATTTTTCCTTCCTCCCTTTTTTTCATTCAAGGTTTTGTGTCCATCTGGACTAAGGGAGACACATTCACTGTTATCAAAACAACCAGTAACTGTACACTCTGGCTAGGGGGACTTTTATATTTAAAAAGAAATAAAATTAATTTGTCCTTATTTGGGTCTGTCATTTTGTAGCCATTTTCTGGACTCTTGCATCATTGCACTTCGTAATCTCTGCCTATCCATTCCAAATGGATGCTTTTGTTAACTTGAAATGCTCTTGCTGCTTTTTCTTTTCCCTTGACCGCGTCATGCAGTCCTTATCGCCGGATTCAATTGACCAATCTTTTCAACTGCAAGTCAACGAACTAATTTAAGTGTTCGTTAACTTCTTTCTGTTGAGCTCCAGTGTTGATAAGCATTCAAAATGCAAACTTTTTTGATAATGAACGGCAACACTGAATATTTCATGCTAAATGAAACGTTGCATCTCTAGTGAGTACCGACAATAAAAAGGATTAACCAGAGTGCAGGCATGACAAAGTGTCTCCATGAGGGAACTGTCTGCAGACTGATCCGCCTTCCCTCCAAAAAATGTAAATGCTTCAAACGTGTCTATTCCCCCTACTTCTAGCAGTGTCCTTTCAAGACTCATCCAAGTTCCATCTTCGCTGTTGGAGAACAGTGTGTCCAGTTGGACTTCACTGGTTTGCGATGTGTCGGAATAAAGAGCATTTTAGACATTGTGATGAGCTGTGACAAAAGAGAAAAATACATTTAAAAGGTGTATTTTTGGATTTTTTAAATATAAAATCAGATATGTGTATTATAAGCACCAAACACCAATGTAAATTCCTTTAGACGCAATTGTCAAACCTTACTTCATGAAAACACGCTCTGACAAAGCGTGTGACAACAGCAGAGGTACCACTCTGCTTTTTATTCTGCTCGTCAAAAAGAAAAAACCGCGGACCGGAGTTTGTGATTGTAGATCAAAATATCTCGTGCATTGTGGTTATTTTTTTGTAACGCCGTCAGCTTTAAGCAACAACGTCCAGTCCTGTGTGATTTTCTTCATATGAATCGGTTCGTTTCACTTGTCAAACTGGACGAGAGGCTCGTTGAGATGTTAAATAAATACACGATCTTTGGCTACAACCCGAACTCCTCGCGCACATTTTAAACGTCATTCCGAAGCGTTTTTTCACTTCATGCAAAACCAACCGGCTGAAAGCCCAGAATGCGAATGTATTTGTTGCTTTAATGAATTGAAGTCAAAGGTCTTAGTGCGCTAAAAGCGACCTCGTTCGGTGTCAGATAAAATGTTCTCTTTTCGTCATGTTGTCACCATGTTAGCCGCGCGCAGAAGCCCGAAGTCTGACCTGTGACCTTTTCTGCGATGCAAAACAAACTCAAACGGAGCAAGAAAAGCGAACATGTGTTGCGCCCGGCCGAGGTGAGGACGTCCAGCTGCTTGGGCGATGGAACATCACCGGGAGGAGGTACAGCCGCTGCCGCAGGCGCCTCTTGCAGAAAAGCCCCCCCAAAAGACGTCAAGATCGCGCCAATTTTCTTGCTTAAAACGCCGCACGGTAAAACTAAGCGGCGCCGCGAGGGGAGGCCGGATCGGCCGGTGGAGAAGCCGCAGGAATCGGTGCGGTTTCCCCGCGCGCCACTGGTGAGAAGTGAGACAGAGAGTGTAAATATCTCCTGCAGGGGACAGCTGTCACCCTCAGCTGTGCACATCTGTCTGGAAGAAATCCAAACAGCCAACCCAGCCTTTCCAGTCGGAACAGTGTTCAGCACTCTGCAGAAGAACACAGGTGAAAAGCTGCAGGATTTTGGAACCACAGGTGAGGTTTAGTAGCAGTTTTTACCCTGAATGTGATCTAATTGTATCTTTTACTCGTTCATCTCTGATCAGTTATGCACCCCTTTTTTATCTTCTTCAAAAGCAGAAACTAAAAGGTCCCCACAAAACGACCTACAGGAGAAGAGGAAACAAGGAAGCGATGGCCCTGAGAGGCAGCCCAAGCGTCTGCGGTGTAGTCCCACTGCGGAGGAACCCTTCGGGGTGGCTCGCTGTCACTCGTCGGCTGGCCTGGAGACGTCTATCTGCAACAAGCTGGGTCGCGCTCACCGACTGAGGAGAAGTGGTGACCCCGCAGGCCGCGAACCGAGCTCTGGACCGATGAATCACCCGGAGCTCAAAACCTGCGGCCTCCCCCAAACGGGTAAACCCGTCCCGCGTTTGATTGCCCATTGACATGATTTTATGCCTTTTCAGATCGAGATTTAAATTCCCTTCGCCCATCTCTTCTGCAAAGATTCCAGTTCGGAGGACGTCCTATGGACAGACAAATACAGTCCTCGGCATTCGAGTGAAGTCATCGGCAACTCTGCCTCCGTGGACAAACTGCGAATGTCAGTTCCTCATTTGTTCCTCATGTTGTTTCTGTCTTCCACTCGTGCAGTGAACTTGAAATCAATGTGAGCATGATTTATCGTTTTTCCTCGATGGCGTCCAGTTGGTTGAAGAAATGGAAACTAAGAGCAGACTGTGACGAGAGGAGAAAAATGTCCGAAAGGAAACAAGAAGAAAACAGCAATCGTATGTATGAGCTGGCGTGTGGCGTCCTTCTGTACAGGGTTAATGAGCCATGACCAACGGGGAAACCCCCCCCCCCCCCTTTTTTTTGGGGTGTGGAAAAGTAACGAAGGTCCTCTCGTGCAGACTCGTGGGACTGTGGAGACTTCCAGGGCGAGGCCGGGCCGGAGGACGTCGACGCCGGAGAGGCGGCGCCGTGCAGCACCGCCTTGATCACGGGACCTGCAGGTGTGGGCAAGACCGCCTCGGTGTACGCCTGCGCTCAGGAGCTTGGCTTTAAGGTCTTTGAGGTGAACTGCTCCTCGCAGCGCAGCGGGCGCCACGTTCTTGCCCAGCTGAAGGAAGCTACCCAGTCCCACCTGGTGGAGGTCTCGGGGAAGGACCCACTGACACCAACGTACTTCAACAACTACGCCGCCAGCGGCTGCCCTCCTAAATCTGAGACGTTCCCTGGTACGACTGATGATTGTGCTCACAGAGCTCGTTGAAACCCCAATAATCACTGTTGATTTGATAGTTTTGGCGTCCGGTCTGTGTGGTGTTTCCATGGTGACGGAGGCCTCACCTCAGGCATTTGTCTTGTGTTCTTTTCTTTAAACAGGAAAAACGGTGCGTCCCAAAATCGCCACCATGACCTCAAGAAATAGAGCCGCCAAGAGGTTCGGCGGCTGCAGTCGCAGCGGAAAAACCACCGCACCCGCGGCCACTTTGGCCGACTACTTCAAGAAGAAGGCCAAAGCGGATCGCGCTCACTTCGGCGGTCCAAAAACAGATGGCGAAGAACCCGACGGCCTGCGGCCGGGCTGCGGTCAAACGGTGCCGAAGAACAGAAAGACGGCAATGTCACTTATTCTGTTTGAAGAGGTAACACCCCCCCCCCGACACTGTAAGACGCATTACCTATTACGGATACCACACCACACAAATGTGCCCGCCCCCGCAGGTCGATGTCATATTCGATGATGACGTCGGTTTCCTCACAGCCATCAAGACTTTCATGACGACCACTAAAAGACCAGTCGTTCTGACCACCAGTGGTAAATGCACAGTGTTATTTCCTGAAGAAACTCAAAATTAAAGATGAAATTGTGATGCAAAATGAACGTCTCCTTCAGATCCTTTATTCAGAGAGAGATTCAACTGCAGCCTGGAGGAGATGCTGTTCAAAACGCCATCGGCGGTGAGTCCGATCGTTCTCTCCACGCCCTGGTGCACCTCGGGAGGACGTGTGCGAGTCTTTCCTCGGGGAGCTCGCGCTTATCTCGTGTTTGCGCCGGTAGTCTCGCAGTGAAACTTCCTCCGTCTGTCCTCTGCAAGGTGAACGTCTGCAGCTACCTGCGGCTGGTGGCGTTGGCCGAGGGCGTGCGGCTGGAGTCGGACGACGCCCACGGCCTCGTCGGGCTGTTCGGGGTGGACGTGAGGCGCTGCCTGCTGCAGCTGCAGCTGTGGGTGCTCGGGGGAGGGGCCTCGCCCGAGGAGCCTTCTCGTGTGCGCCGTGAGTTGCTCTGAAAAAAAAGACTGACAAGGATTTCTTTTCCAAACCCAACAAATCTGCAGGAATATTTTTCCCCCGAAATAGACCCGAGTGTTGCTGGAAGAGGAGACGACTCAGGCGACCCAGGCTGCACTGCAAGCTCGCTGGGGCTCCACCGCGTGACCCAACGGCAACTGTTAAACCTACTGATGGTAAGTATTCACGCCTTGCATATGGAAACGAACAAACACCATTTGTCGATCCTTCCCTTTATCCTCCAGCTGCAGGTCTGGGCTGAAACGGACATGAAGGAGCTCCTGGGCCTCCTGGCCGAGAGCTGGAGGGGACACGTTCCTCTTCTGTACTCCAACCTGGAGCTTCTTCTGCCCATCGAGGCCGGGGGGAAGAACACATCTCGACTCGGCAAAAGGAAGCGTGTCCCGGCCACATCTGCAAGAGCATCATCACCGCTGCCACCAGAGAAGGTCACCGGATCCGGGGACGAGACTGAGGCGAACGCCGGCAAAGCGGTGACGGGCCGCTTGGAGGCCCTGGCGGACTTCTTCGACCTCATGTCCTACCTCGATTCCACAACGGGCCCACGCTGCCCCGAGGCGTTCGTCTGGACGGGAGCCGGGGTGACGGACGGCTCGCTGGACGAGATGAGCGAGGACAACGACGAGGTGGGCGGGACCTGGAGGCGAGAGGGGCTGTTGGAGATCCGGGCGGCCGTCGAGGGACTCGGGTGTCACAGGTGCTGCTGGAGAATGTCGGAGGTGTCGACGAAAGCGGCAAAGTGCAGACAGGAAGTGGGAGACGCAAGGCCTGCCTCTTCAAAAAGACAGAGCCTAACCTTCGGCGGCGGTGCACCGTGCGCGCCGAGGCGAGTCCGCTCTCCTTCTCTGGTCGTTCGCGGTCTGCCGTCTGTTTTAACGTCTGTTTCCGCTCCCCCAGCGTGCGCAGGAGGAGGTTCGGGCTGAGCAGGAAGATTCTCGGCAGCGCGTCCTTCGGCCTGCTGGGGAGCAGGCGAGCGGTCGCTGTCGACTACATGCCGGTCCTCCGACACATCTGTCGCCTTCAAAGTGCGCAGGAACAGAAAGAGCCCAGCAGGTGAGCCTGATAATGTTATCGTTTAGAGCTGCAGACGATGGAAGTCTATTTTAAACCGCACTACTAAATCACCCATTATATTTTGTCCGATCTAACTAATATTGTCTAAGTTGATGCAATAATTTTAGGTTAAAATGTTGCATTAAAATAATTGATGTTCATTAGGTGTCTGAGGTACCTCAGCAGCACACAGCTGGGCCTTTCGAGGTCCACTATTCAACTGCTGGCAGAAGATTTCTCCTCGACAACCTGATCCACTCCCTCGCTTTACTCCAGTCAGCTCACCTGTATAAAGATTTTCTCCACCTTTTTAAATAAATTGAACGCAGTTAAGATAAGTGTTTTCATGTGTTATGTTTTATCATGAAAAATGAAATAAAACATAATATATTTTTGTAAATTGTTATTTTTTCCGACTGTTTTGATGTGCTGGGCCTTTTTATGACTCAATACAAACAAACGGCGGGAGGATGGCCGACAGCATTTAGATCCAAACATGTAACAGTAAGAACATCCAATACTTTAAATGTAGCGCGAGTCAGCGCCTAATCTCTTCCTTGAGGTAAACGTTCAGCTTTAGTCCCAAAGGGGCTCGGAGGGCCATCCAGGAAGTTCCTTTTTTCTGGGTTGGCGAAGTGCGGGGTCAGAGGTCACACCCGGCGTAGTGCGGGGTCAGAGGTCGCACCCGGCGTGGGCTAACTGGAGGACTCGCTGAGCAGCTCGTAGAAAGCCACAGCCTGAAGCAGAGCGTCGCACAGTTCCTCGCCGCCTCTCCTGCTGCCCATCTGGAAGGAATTCCTGTGCTTCAACAGCAGCTCCTGAGGGAACCGCAAGCGGGGAAGCGTCTGCGTCACCGACTCGGTCATCAGCCGCCGCACCGTCTGCGCGCCGCTGGTCCGCGACTCGCCCAGCATGAGCCCGAAGTGACGTCCCACCGCCGCGCGCATCATGTTCAGAACTCTGCGGAGGAGGGGGGGGAGGTCAAAAACTACTCGCAAACTAAATAAAAAATGTTTTGACGTCTTCTATATTCGAAAATCCCCACCGGGGAGGAATGTTGGACTCTGGGGGCACGTTTCTGGGCTCAAGCAGAGCGAACAGCAAGGCCTCCACGGTCCTCATGTGGGCCATGATGGGGAACAGGGCCGTGTTCTGGACCGAGATGGAGGATTTCTCGATTATGTAGAAGTCCACCGATGAGAGGAAGGCCCACCACCTCTGAATCCTACCGGGAGGAAGAATGAAATTTGCCAGTCAAATATGGGGCTCTCTTTAAGTTCCTCAAATGGACAATAGCAGAAATATAGTTTATGAACGGAAAACCTACGAATTTCAACAAATCTCACTTTTGTATTCGTACTCACATCATTCAAGTACGCGGACGCCATGTATGTTCCCCTCAAGAAATTTGGACACTCCACCTGTCGCCAATCCAGCAGCGTCATCCCCCGGTCCACTTGAGCCCAGGCGATTTTATTAGTCCCACATACGAGGGACACAATGTTACTGGCATCCTGACGGGACAGAAGCAGAAGCATGAAAGGTGGTCAAAGCAAATGATTCTTTGCAATTATACTATTGTATATTATAGTGTAGGGCGGCACGGTGGCGTGGTGGTTAGCACTGTCGCCTCACAGCAAGAAGGTCCTGGGTTCGATTCCGCCCCGTGGCCTTTCTGTGTGGAGTCTGCATGTTCTCCCCGTGTCTGCGTGGGTTCTCTCCGGGTTCTCCGGCTTCCTCCCACAGTCCAAAGACATGCTCTGGGGATCAGGTTAATTGGGGACTTTAAATTGCCCGTAGTTGTGTGAATGTGAGTGTGAATAGTTGTGTGTCTCTGTGTAGCCCTGCGATTGGCTGGCGACCAATCCAGGATGTACCCTGTCTATCGCCCGAAGTTGGCTGGGATGGACTCCAGCCCCCCCCGCGACCCTGTGTGCAGGATAAGCGGTTTGACAATGGATGGATGGATGGATATTATAGTGTAGAGGCGGACGAGTGCGGAACAAAAAAGGGAAATACAGGATGCCGTCTTTGTGGAACTTTGAAAACTATTTCTAGGGGCTGAAAGTCAGGACTTTGTCTCTGCTTGTCCCCCCTCACGTGGCACCACATGAAAACCAGCAGTTTGTGCAGCTCACCTCCAACCAGGACCTGTCCACTTCCGGCCTGATGAACTTGGCCAACTGGATCTTCACCTTCTTCTCCTTCTTCACGGGGTTGAGGATGGAGTTGAACACCGTGACGGCGCTCTTGTGCTTCAGCAGCGGCACGTTCACCACGCTCTCCAGGGTCGGGAAGGGCCCGTTTCTGGTCCGGTACTCCACGATGTTGACCGACTTGCGGCCCCGCAGGAGCTTCACGCCGGCCAGCTCCGACGGCGTGGCGGTGTTGAGCAGCCGCAGGATGGCGTGCCGCTGCTCGGAGGTGTAGCACGCGTCCAGGGACCGGTTGTCCTCGTCGCAGGGCTCTGACGTGGAGGAGATGGCGGCGTTGAGGGTCTCAAAACCGGCCACGGGAACCCGGCTGCGCCAGCAACACGTACACTGGAGGTACCGCGGCTCCAGGTCCGGGAGGCAGCCGTGACGAGGGTGACGGAACAAGGCGGGCGGGCCTGCGTACCGCCCTGCTGGGGGACGGACAAGAGGGGATCGGGCAGGTCAGATCGGACCGCTGTCAGAGGGGATACAGGAGCTGTCACACCACGGGCTCCCCACGTGATGGGTGGAGGTTTCTCGTGACATTTCACTTAACGTTACTGTGAAGGACAGTCCGACTCAAAGGCTGCGTAAACTCAAGATACTGTCTGAAACAAACTACTACCGTTAGCTGCTTCCGTTGAACTTAGCAATGAAAACTAGCCATGTCAAAATAGCTTCACACTGCTAGTCCGCAAAGTATAAATGTGCGCAAACAACGAGTAAAATGTCTCCACACAACATACTTCTCTGAGCGACAGACGACAGCAGTCGCCTGGCGACCCACATCATTTTAAATTCAAATAGATGGTCGATTGTTTTATCTACAACATAATACAGTTTGCATAACTCTGCACTTTCGGTTGTTGTCCAACGCGATCAAGTCCGACGGCGTGAAACAACAGCTGTACTGCAATGGTTCCGGTGTGGAACTTTGTCCCCGGTAGAATTGGGTTTCCCTCCTGATAAAACAGCGTTTGTAAATAAAATAAATTGTCAAAGAATGATGCTGATGAAACCCAAATGATAACGATACTAAAGTTGTTGTTGTTGTTGATGTTGTAATATAGAGTTACCTAATTTAGGGTAATTTAGTCTTTTCAATTAGATTCTGTAGAAATATTGTTTCATGCAGCCTGTAAGCTCATGGCATCATAATATGTGTTATTCAAAGATTCAATAAAATACAAAACGTCTGTCCTTACGTTTTAATAAAGAAAGATTAATTATTTGATATATAATTGTGAACCTAGGTTTGTGTTTTCAGCAACCAGAAGTTCAGAGACAAAGGCGGAACAAACGGTAAAAGAGGGCGGGACTTGCACACTGATTCACAAAAGTGAAATTTTACCGGTTCCTCTGGCAACACCTGCTCAGGTTTGAATGGAGCTCTATCGGAAATTACATGAGGTCACTTCTATTAAAACAAGGTAAGGAACGTCATGTCCTAAAGAGCCAGAGTCACTTATGATAATTGGTTTGAGTATAATAAGAATTTGTTTAGAGCTTTTTAAAACTACGCATGCAATAACCGGTGAATCCTACATTATTAAAGGTTTTGTTATTATTATTATTTTGCTTGAATGTATTTATTTTAAAGCCTCCTATAGCGAAGAAACGTGTTTTGTTTTCGCCCTGCTACACCGAGACTTTGGTTCCACTTCCTTTCTCTGTTATTTCTGGAGCTCTGTGTTTGTGTGCAGAACAATGGACTCCATGGTGCTGTGCCGGTAAGAGGAAACGCTGCCCCACCGTGCCAGTGAGAAGAAGTGATGTTATCCACCTGCTGCGGAGCAGGGCAGCACCGTAGCGTTCATGTGGACATTCAGAATGGAGATGACACCTGACGGCTCTTTAATCGGGAGTCACACGGACTAACCTTCCCCCATGGCGAGTTTGGACAGAAATAACAAATTCCTGCTCAATTTGGTGAGACAGACTGGTAACAACACGTGTGCTGACTGTGGAATTCCTGGTGAGTACCTTTATTCCAACATTGTCTGATTGATTTCCAAAATGATTATGTTTTGTCGTAAACCATCATACGTGATTTCTGTGTGTGTCACTTGCTTTTCTTCATTGGAGTTGGTGGACTTATAAACAGCAGTCTGCGCCATCAGGCCACGTAATGTTTGTTAACAGAACTGTCTCCAACGTCATAGTTCATAATCGGGGGGGAAGTTGCGGCGGTTTTCTTGTGGTAATTATATATACACACCCACACACACACATAATTAGCAGTTCCGTTTCCTTGCTTACAGAGCCGGACTGGGCCTCCTACACGCTCGGCATATTCGTGTGCCTGAATTGCTCCGGCATTCACCGCAACTTGCCTGATATCAGCAAAGTGAAATCCATATGTCTGGATATCTGGGACGATGCACTAGTAGAGGTATCGTCTTGTAGTTTGTATTCATTTTACATAATAGCTGACAAAAAAGTATGATCAGTTATTTGCTTTGTTTTTCATGTTGGAAAGTATAAATACATTTGGAAGTTTTTCCTAAGGGAACTAGAACAGTTACTCTCTGAAATGATTGATAAAGTACTGCAGCCAGAGGAAAGACATATTTTATTGTGAACTGTCCCTCGCATCTTGTGGTTTCAGTTCATGCGGCAGGGGGGGAATTCTGCAGCCAAGGCCTTGTATGAGAAGTGCGTCCCTGCCTTCTTCTATCGGCCGCAGCAGAACGACTGCTTGTAAGTGACGCCGTTCACCCTCCGTTCGCCTCGTGGGCACAATGGGAGGGAAAGCCAGAGTGTATTTTTGGTGGATGGGTGTGGGGAGGTACAAAAGGAGGAACAAAGACTAGGCTGCTTGATAAGGTGGATCTGTCCCTGCAGACAGTGTGACCACGCAGGTCTACTTCATTTCTGGTATTTATTTATTCACACTTGTCTTTCACCCATGAGGAAATGGAAATGTTTTGTCGTAGTGTCCTCAAGGATCAATGGATCCGTGCAAAGTACGAAAGGAGAGAATTCACAGGAGAAAACAATCAGCCAAGTTATTGCTCAGGTAATCAAATGCCACCCTATAAACATATTTTCATACACATGATTCTGTAAGTATAGTGGTTCTCCATTTCTTTTGATCTAACCAGACCAGTTTGAGTCAACACTATGGAAGAAGGGCAAAAACAAAAAACAGTTTTTAAAGAGGATCTTCCTGCTGTCCCGGAGAGACTTCACCCTCCGGTACTTTATCAAAGACGATGTGAGTTATGACACATTGGCGTGGAGTCCACAATGTTGGATGAGCGTACAAAGACCCTTTTTGTTTCTAATCTGGTGAAATCCTTCCCCCCCCCGTGCGTCTTTCAAACCAAAGTCAAAGCTTCCCAAAGCCGTAATCTCCATGAAGGATCTTAACGCAGTCTTTCAGCCGGAGAAGATCAACCACGCTAACGGTCTGCAAATCTCCTTCGCCAACGGCAAACGCACAAGGAATCTGTTTGTTTATCACGAAAAAGGACAGGTGAGCCGTTACCATAGTGACCAAAGGTTTTAGTGAGACACCTCACTTCAGAGTTGAGTGTTTCTCAAAGACTAGAAGTACAAAAGGGATGCCCTCACAGTCGACATGCATTTTAATCATAACATACACTAATCCATGTTTGTCATAGTGAAATATACAGTAGTTTCTTAATCAACCTGAATTGTATGAAACTGCAGACAGTGAACTGGATGCAGATGATATCCCTCTGATTTGCTCTTCAATATCTGATGCCGTATAGGTGATTGTGTCCCTGTTCAACGCCATTCGGGCCACGCGCCTTGAGTACCTCCAGAGGAAACATCCCACTCTTCGAGACAACGACGTAAGACGAAACTTTGAAATCAGTCGCTTGTGTAGATTGTTAAAGTCCAAGTGCAACGTTCTGTGAGTTGACGGAGATGCCTCTTTGCACAGTTAATACCTCAGATAACGGGACGCTGTGTGAAGGAGGGGTACATGGAGAAAACCGGGCCAACGGTTCGTCTATGCTCTCAGTTTGTTCCAAAAACCAATTTCATCCATTTATCATTTTTGTGCATTTGAACATGAATTGAAGGAATTCTCTTTGTGTGTGTTTCTTTCTGTGTGTGTGTGTGTGTGTGTGTGTGTGTGTGTGTGTGTATTCATGTTTGTGTCTTTCAGCAACGGGAGCCCTTCAAGAAGAGATGGTTCACACTGTGCTCAATGAACAGGAAGCTTCTGTATTTTAAAAACCCACTGGTAAATAACAGAAACCCTCCACAGAGTCTGTGATGTTTGCATCAAGCGACTGCGTTAATAAGCAAACGTCTACATTCATGTGTGAGTTCCCGACATTAATTCTAACATGTGCTCTGGAACAAAAATACGACGACTATGCATCGAAACCAGGATGCTTCTGAGTTGGGCGCCGTCTTCATCGGCACGGCGAGCCACAGCTACGCCGCTGCAGAGAGCGGCGGGCCGAGCTCCAGAGGAGGCCGGTGGCACTGCGGCGTCACGCTGCAGACGCCGGACAGGGAGTTTGTCTTCATGTGCGAGCAGCAGCAGGAGCAGAAGGAGTGGTTGGAGGCCTTCCGAAAGGTCATCGCTCAACCCATGACACCAGAGGACTACGCCAGTAAGATCCTGTTGTCATCAATAACGATCCTGCGGTGTGTGAATACGAGCTCCTAACCCCTCTCTCCACTCCTTCTGTGATGCAGACGAAGCCAACATGATAAGGGGGAAATGACGTGAGCAGTTCCACGTGTTGGTTTGCAGGAGGTCCCGGTGCAATAAGTGTGATTTGGGGAAATGAGAGACTGAAAGGTTCTGCTTTGGAAAAGACATAGTGCCTGACAAACGCTCACTTTCACCGGCACAAGCTGCCAATGCCACTTTGCGTGGTGTGCCTCCGTGATTACGCGTTGCTTCAGCTCGTAAAGTCACTGCCCAGAGGAGTTATTGTGAAAATCAAAATTATTCTTTGTGAGAACACTGCAACCTAGCGTAGTATTTATTGACATTATTACCTTCTATCCAAAGCGACTTACATTACATTTTTAACCCATACAATTTTTTTTTTACATTTTTGCCCGTGGAGCAATTAGAGGTTAGGCGCTTCGGATTGGGACATGGGGGAGCCGGGACTCGGACCACCAACCTTGCGGTTCCCAGCGCACCCTCTCTACCCCTGCACCACGACGACCCCAAAGTGACTCACAATAAGTGCATTTCAAAGAGCCCGAGACACCAAGTTCCTGAAGGGAAGAGATAAAGATCTGGTGGTTTACTGCGTCAAATGAAGCAGAAAAGTCCAGAAGGATTAACTCTTGCGAACAAGGTGGTGAGTAAGTGCGGTGGTTTCCGTAGTTATCTTGTTAATCGGTTTCACTCAATTTGCACATTTTGAAAGATTCATTCCTTTCACACACTGTTGATTTTGATTGTCTATTACGTTTCTTAATGTCTAATATATTGTTTAAACAATTATTTCATGCTTTTGGAATTCTAGACTTACATTTGTATTCCTCTTCAGTAACAGTATCCATTGGTGATTAATCACAGATGACAGTAGATGATTATATGAGGCATAGGCTGGTTATTTTGATGGTCGGGGGTAGAGGACCAACCAGGCTAAGAAACAAGTTCATGCCATGGTTTCTTACCTTTCTTACAGAATCACAGAGTCTGTCTTGTGTTATGATTTAGTCCCATGTATATTGAAGTAGAGGTGCTTTGTATGAACGTCTGACTGTCAAATTAAATAAACAACGTTCAATGGAAAAATGTGTCTGATGAATGAGTTTTCCAATGAGATTGGACAAATTATAGCCTAAATAGCACAAATTCTAATAGTTTCATGTCTGATAAGGCATGTGAATTAAGTTTCACGCCATTCTTCCAGTACCAGAAATATTACGTCGCTAACCAGCCAGAGATAAACTATTAAGAACTTAAGTAAAGTTATATGGTACTTTTAGTTAACTTGTGTTTTCATTTCATGCTACTTAATAGGGAACGTTACTTTCTTACATGTAGGTATAAACATTGTTTTTTGTGCAGTGTTTTTGCTATAATAATGACAGACTTACAAACACGTATTTTGAATTTACCTTCCAATTCAGGCTTATAATTCACTTGAACTTGTTTCTCCACTATTGATAGAATACTAGAATGTGAGCAAACCCTTGAGGAGTATTAGGGCTCATTTTGGGCCCACACCACACTGGAACACTACTGAAATCCAGGATGTAGGACATTTTTAAAGAATATAGTGTGTTTTTTAAACCACTGATTTTAAGTCACAGTCTCATCATGTCATCTAAAACAATACAGCTTGTGAAGCGTTCGCTGCATGCGTTCAGGTTGTGGCTGTTAAAGCGGTTCTGTCATCAATACACGATCTTTGCTGGCACCCGGAAGGGGCGTGGCGCAGCGCAGCGGCGCCCTCTGACGCGTCACCGGCCGAGCTTGTGTGAACATTAGCGCGCTCCGCACTGCACCGCTGACCGCCCGCAGACCGCCCGATCCCCGCAGGCGGAGAGCAGTGAAGAAACGCCGCCGTTCGCGTTCCGCTCGCCTGGCGGTTTGTACGGCCGTGCGAACAGTGCGCGTCCTGCCCTGTGCTGACATGTGCGGGTGTAGCCGCTAGCGGGCGAGCCGGGGCCGAGGAGCGTCGGCCGCTTGTACCCTTCACCCGGACCGGAGCGTGCATGTACATCAAAGGCCGGGTTAAGGAGCCCGTCGACGGCGAGGAGGATGCGCAAGGACGTGAGGATATTGTTAGTGGGAGAGCGTAAGTACAGCTGAGTGTGGACGGTGTTTGGGACAGCGGTGTTCAAGCTGCCTGCGGGGCTTCTGTCTCGTGATGATGGTTCACTCGTCCTTCAAAAATAAAAGCCTCAGCATCAGCTGGAGCTTCCTGAAACATTCGGTTTCACTTAATTGTACGTTGTCCCTAGTCTGGGAATGGCTGGTTCCTTTTTTTAAAATGGATGTTTACATCTCAACATCTGGAAAAATATTGCAAGCTTTTATCATGTTTTCTTGCAGAAAATTGCAAAAATGTTCTCTATAATGGAAGAAGGTAGGTTCTCCTTCCCAGGAGGTCCAGCTGTTCTCCAACATGTTGTGTTGGCCACCTTTTTTCACATCGTGCACATAATGTATCAAACGTGGTGCTTGTGATCTCCATCACACGTCATCCGTGTCCCAGCCCCGTGGCCCGAATAGCTTGTTGAGCCCAATAATTGTGATGTGTTGTTAAGCAGATAGGGTGACGCGTTTGCTGAAAGCCGTGTCTCATTAAACCGTCACCTCTCTCCTCTTCCTCCTCCAACAGCCAAAGTGGGGAAGACGTCTCTCATCATGTCGCTGGTCAGCGAGGAGTTCCCCAGCGTGGTAAGAATCGATGATTATCACGTTGGCAGTTGATGACGCCTCCCAGACGCGACCTTGATATGAACTTTTGTGGAGTGTGACACCATTGATCTGCACCCGTCACTGGTTGTCTGTGTGACTTAAGCGCCGGCCGTGTTTTCCGTTCGTCCCAGGTTCCCTACCGGGCTGAGGAAATCACCATACCTGCAGATGTCACACCCGAACGAGTTCCCACACACATCGTGGACTACTCGGGTACCTTAAGCCTCCGTCTCTTTCCTCAGGATCCAAATGCATTGATTTATGGTTACACATTTTGTGAAACAAAGTTGTACATTTGGGTGAAAACGACGAATGCGTTCCTCTGGTTTAACCGCGGCGCACACTTCTGTCTCTTGCAGAGGCGGAGCAGACGGATGAGCAGTTGTTCCAGGAGATCACCAAGGTGGGTCCGTGCGTTACACTGCCTCCTGGGAGGAATGCTGCGTTCAGCTGTGAGCTTAAAGGGTCTCTGTGTCGCTCTCTCTCACAGGCCAACGTGATTTGCATTGTCTACTCTGTCAACAACAAGACGTCTATTGAAAAGGTGAGCGACCGCTGCGTCCAGTATTTCCATAATTGGTTTCAATTAACCCATAAAACCGGTGGGGGGGGGGTGTTGGTGTCCAGACCAGTGGCACTCGAGGGGGGGGGGGGGGGGGGGGGGGGGGGGCGATGTATTGGATTTGAATCTTCTCTACCTTGTTGTTTTCCGTAGGTGACGAGCCACTGGATCCCCCTCATCACGGAGAACACGGACAAGGACAGCAGGTGGGTTTTCTTTGTCTGAAGAAGGTTTTGGATCATGCAATGTGAGGAGAAGAGGGTGTTCTGGCTTAACTGCTCCAACAAAGACTGTTTTCTGTGGATAGAGGACAGTCGTGGAGTCCATCAAAAGAAAAGTGTTGCATTGAACAAAAGGTTACTGTTACATTTGATGTTTTTAGTCCTGTTAAATGGAATCTTGTGTGTTCAGGGTCCCTCTAATTCTGGTGGGGAACAAGTCCGACCTGGTGGAACACAGCAGCATGGACACCATACTGCCCATCATGAATCGGCACAGCGAGATAGAGACCTGCGTCGAGGTGAGCGACGGATCTGTTTACCGCTCCCACTGTCTCCGCATACTGAAGCATTAGAGCGGCTGATTCATTATTCCACATTCAAGTAATGTGTTTTAGTTGGTTTCAGAAACAGACGGAGTATTGATGTGTTGCTCAGTGCACAAAGTCTAAGGGGATGTAAACAGAAAAGGAGATCGACATCTATCATTATTGAAAAGAACATTAAAATAATAATATGCAGACTGTCCTTTTTACTTCATTGGCAGTGTTTCACAGATGGTGTAAAAATATTAAAATAGTGTTTTTTTAACCATAATTATCAGCAAAGCCCTCTGGGACCTTTTTTTGCTCATGAACGTTTATGAAAGAACGCGTGCTGCTCCCTAAACCACGTGTTGAATTGTCAGATGTGTGAGTAATCCTTTCTATTTAAACTCTGACCCCTTTATAATACTTTTATATCCCCAGGCTGTTGACCACTGCAGCAGATGATTTATGTTTTTATGTAACGCCATGACACAATACACAGTTATAGGCTGAAATGAAATAACAATGACATTTTGGAGGGATATAAATGGAAGCTGTAGCGATTCTAGTTCCTACTTTCAGGAAAGACGCTATTTATTTGCTCATGTCCCGTGTTTACGACGCGGAAGCTCAACAATTGTACAAAAGGATTTAAACAATTAACACCCGCTGTGACCTTTTTTCTTTTTTCTCCCCAGACAAGCTAATTAAAACACGCTTGCCGCTGAGACGGATCCTGTGTGTTAATACCCTGACTTATCTCTACACACACCTACTTTATTTACACGTTACGCTGCCGTGTTGCACCACACGTCACAACCTCTACTTCTCCGTTCCCTCCTACTCGGGTGCAGGTCACCTGTCCCGGTGGTACCTCTCAATCGTGGCCTGCAACAGTACTCTTGTTCATGTACTTTGGCTCGATTGAGCTTTTATCTCATCCTGGTGCCCGGCAGACAGGATTCTAAGTACATGATGATTCTCGCTTTTATTCTTTAAAGTGTTCAGCAAAGAACCTGAAGAACATCTCAGAGCTGTTCTACTACGCCCAAAAGGCCGTCCTGCACCCCACGGGTCCTCTTTACTGCCCAGAGAGAAAAGACGTAAGGGAGAAACGTCCTGTGTGAATTCCACCACGCTGCTTTTCTGATGCTGTGGCTGAAGTAAAACAATAATTCTATTATTAACCATTTTGGAGAGTTTTGTCTAAAGCAGAATGCATCACAGAAAATTAGCAGGCGAGTCACAAAATAATTTATTTAAAGGAAATATAGTTTTACGCTTTTTGATTCCCAGATGAAGCCACTTTGTGTGAAAGCCCTGACTCGCATCTTCAAAGTGTCGGACCTGGACAACGATGGCATCCTCAACGACCACGAGCTCAATTTCTTCCAAGTAAGTTGGCCGGTGACCGACAACGTCCCGGTGTTGTAAAATAAATGAAACCAAATTGGCGAGGTGACGTTCTGACCGTTCCCAGCGGACGTGCTTCAACGCCCCACTCGAGTCCCAGGCGTTGGAGGATGTCAAAAATGTGGTGAGGAAGAACATGAGTGACGGAGTGTGTGACAACGGACTCACTCTGAAAGGTAGGACTGAACGGGTTCTCTTGCGTTCATGTGCACACGCAAATCCCTCGTCACATTGGTCCCGATCGTTGGGGTTGTTCTCCTCCAGGCTTCCTGTTCCTCCACACGCTGTTCATCCAGCGAGGTCGCCATGAGACGACGTGGACGGTGCTGAGGAGGTTTGGCTACGACGACGACCTGGAGTTAAATCAGGACTACCTCTTCCCGCCGTGAGTCTTATCGAAGCGCCTCCTTGTTCCCCTCACTGTGTGTAGGGACTCGCTGTCACTCATTCGAGGGTGATGCCGCACTTTTGCTCACTTTGTCAAAACCTTAAATGGAATAATGGATACAACACTGTAGTTGTGAGCAATGAAGGATTTGTATGCACGTTAGAAATGCACCCTTTCACTTTCTCCCTTTTCTAACATGTGTCCCATTGTTTCCCAGTGTTCTCTGTGTGCGTCTGGTGCTGTGCTCATTGACCCATGACCCCTGCTATGAGTGATATGCCTCCCTGTCTCTAGGTTGAAGCTCCCCGCAGACAGCACCACCGAGCTCAACCACAATGCCTACCTCTTCCTCCAGAGCGTCTTTGACAAACATGACAAGGTACGATCCCGTGAACCGCGGTTCTGTATGTGCTTTACCCGGAGAGGATTTCACAGAAAGCTGCTCAGTGTGGAAATGGGGCAGCAAAACCAAAATACACCCAGATAGCCGGCGCTGACCACCTGCTGAGGCCTGATTTAACGTGCGGCCACTAAGGAGGGATTGACAGGAGACTTAGCCGCAAGGTTAGGATGGAAGTCAATGAGTGAGAGTGACCTGCTTTTCTGTCGCAGTCACGAGCCGCGTGAATCTGCGCTCCGGTCCGTCCTCTTCATTCACTCGGGTACAGACGACCGGCGACAAACTAAGTGTTGCCACGTCGAGCAACACGTTTCTTGTTTAGCTGTGGTAACCCAGCTCTGTGTCCACCAGGACCGTGACTGTGCCTTGTCACCAGAGGAGACGAGGGACCTGTTTGATGTGTTTCCCTACATGCCCTGGGGTCCGGATGTCTATAATACAGTTTGCACTAACGACCAGGGCTGGATCACCTACCAGGGATACCTCTCCCAGTGGACGTAAGTGGCCACTAGTCAAGTTGAGGGGGGTGAAGAATGTCATTATTTTTACATTCAGAGCTTCTACTAAGCCTTTAAAAACTTTTTTTATAGACATATATATATATATGTCTATAAAAAAAGTTTATGTGTGTGTGTATGGCAATATGAATGTAAGTGGATTGCTGGACTGCTTTGTTAATGCAGACGTGTCGTTGACAAACTTCTTTTTGACCGCGGTGAAAATGTTCTTTTTGGTTTTGACTTAATGCGGGGAGAAAAAAAAAGCAATACATTTTTGAAAAACAACAACTGTGCAGTATTTAAATGTTGACTTTAGAATGATTAGATGTTCTACTTTGGTGCCCTCTGATGGCAGGACCAAGGAGATACTAGCCCTAACCCTAAGATCTAACACGAGGGCACTGAGCTTCATGATTGAAGAATTATCATTTAATATCAAATTTAGTCAATTAACTGACAAATGTCTTGTTTTTTTATCTTCTGGGTTCAACCTGCATTTGTTCAGTTTAACAACGTATCTGGATGTCCAACGATGCCTGGAGTATTTGGGTTACCTCGGTTACTCAATAATTGCTGAGCAGGAGTCTCAAGCATCGGGAATTACAGGTGAATTACAACATCTCCCCCATGCAAACCCAACGTAACCCAATGTAACGATAAATGCTGTTTATTGTGACCTCACAAATACATTATAACTCTGTAAATCAACACCGTCGTAACACCAACTAGTGGACAGTTAAATCTGAATGTTTCCCCGGGCAGTGACCAGAGCTAAGAAGATTGACCTCCAGAAGAAGCAGACCCAGCGTAGCGTCTTCCGCTGCAACGTCTTTGGAGACGTTGGAAGCGGCAAGAGCGGCTTCCTGCAAGCGTTCCTGGGTAGAAACCTCATGGTGAGCAGAAATAAAGCCAGATTACTATTGCAACATATTTTTCTTTTCTTTTTTTCATTCATTTTCTACAAAAATGTAAAAGTAAACAGAATTGGCCCAGTGCAGCTTTCAATCATATTTTACATTTTATTGTCCTGATCTGTGGTTACATGAGGTCTTTTTTCTCCTCAGCGCCAAAAAGCGATCAGCGAGGAACACCGATCCTACTACGCCATCAGCACCACCTACGTATACGGCCAGGAGAAATACCTGCTTGTGAGTTTCAAAGATTCCACTCGTATTACTTGGTTTACAATTTCATTGTCGCAATTGCAACTTGTTTCTAAAAACTTATTTTTATACCTGCAACTGTCTGTCATGTGACTACTGTTGAAAGTCAGCCGTGGTCCTCTAACCCTCCCCTCAGCTTCACGAAGTGTTCCCTGACTTTGACTACCTGTCCGACGGCGATCTGGCCTGTGACATTGTCGGCCTGGTGTACGACGTCGGCAACCCCTACTCCTTCGAGTACTGCGCCAAAGTCTTCAAGGTAAAAGCTGCGCGTGCGGCATGAACGTCCCATCGGAGCACAACCGACACCTCGACTCCTAACCGTCCCTCTTTCTCTCCCTCAGCAATACTTCATGGACAGCAAGATTCCGTGCATGATGATCGCAGCGAAGTCGGACCAGCCGGAGGTCAAACAGGTGTACGGCTGCAGTCCTCTGGAGTTCTGTAGGAAGCACAAGATGCCCCCTCCCCAGTCCTTCACCTGCAACACCGCGGCCGCTCCCAGCAGAGACATCTTCACCAAACTTACCACTGTGGCCATGTACCCGTGAGTACAGAGCGGTTGATCTGCATTTGTTCTACTTGTCAGTGTTGCAACTTTAGTTGACGTAGCAAAATCCAGTTTGTTTATAGGCTGTACTTTCTGGTCCAAAATTATTCATTACAGGACATTTAGCACTGTCATGTGCATATAGCTGAAACTAATGATGTGTAATAAAACAGTTCTACAGTAAAATCATCCTGCATGAACATATGATGTATGTAATTTGGTCATGAAAATTTGTCATGACGTTTGAGTTGCGAAGCTAACGTGCTATTATGATCAAATTGGTAAAGCAAACCGCTCTTAAACAACCTTGATGATCATTGGTAAAAAACACCACTGCTGAGGGGCAGGTGGTGTTTATACATTCAAAACATGTGAAAAATAGGTGTTATCTTTATTTTTTTCTTTATAAAAGATCAGTAAACAGTTTTGTGGTGAGGATCATCTTTATTGTTCTAGTGCACATTTCAGCCACACAAGGCTGAACCACTTCTCCGTGTTCTAAATAGTTCAGGTTTCATGTCCACGTTTAAAAAACAAACAAAGGTCATTAGTTTTTAAACACACAAAATATGCCCTTTTGGTGGTTCGAGCGCATCGACAAGGTTAAAACTCACCTCAATGAGCCAGAAATAAAAAGTCCTTTACTCATGAACACAGGAGAGATATCGATTTAACGATGTAGATGTGACTGAAAACTGGTGACCAGAGTTTTAGTTCGTTCTTGCATCTCAGAGCCTCTTTCCTTCACTCACCGTTGTTCCTAAATGAGTAAATAATGGAATTGCATTTTGTTCAGCGGGGTTGGTGGACGTTTATCCGTCTTCGGTGTCCGTGGATTCTGCCTCATGCTGCTTATTCCTTGTTGATCTTAACACTCTTTACGGTGCCTTTCTCCCTCATGTGTGTTTGTGATTATAAACGGCGTGTTGGTGTGTGTTTCTCCTCAGCCACGCCCGGTTGCGCTGCATGTGCACTTGCAACCGGTGCACCTTCTGCTTGTGTCAGAACTTCCTCAACTCTGAGCTGCTGCAGACAGTCAGGGCCAAACTCTACGCCGTTGTGCTCAGAAGGTCTTTTTTGCAACAGTTTCGTCACATCTAATTGGTCGACAATGCCTCATTGCCTCATTTGTCTGAATGCTTGCTATTTTTTTGTTTTGCAAAGTTGTTTTGCAAAGTACATGTTCTACATCATAATTCCCTGCCACATTTCTCTTTTTGCTCCTCTTTTATACACTTCAGAGTCCTTTTTTATAATTTTTATCCAGCATTTAGCTCCTTCCTTGATGTTGCCTTCTGTACTGCAGTAGAATCGTCCACCCGCACTTTTCCGTTCTGATCTCCGTCTCATTTTCATTCGGTTGTTGTGAACCTCCTTGTTGATTTTATCCTATTTGATTGTGTCACAGTTGCCTCCTCAGCCTACAGAGACGTCACAGATCATTTCTGGTCTTGCTGTCTCGTATCATAATCCTGCATGTCCCTCATCTGATTGACTGGCTTCTTCTCAGCATGTCTCAAGGCCGCATCCCTGTTTCGCCATTGCATCCACATGCTCTTCTGGCACGTTGTCCGTTCATCTCGGTACTCTTTCTCGCCCGTCCCTTCAGCCCGTCTGTGCTTGCCTCTGTTTGACAGGCATGTGAGCCAAGCGGACCTGAAGAGCTCCACCTTCTGGCTGCGAGCGAGCGTCGGGGCCTCGGTGTGCGCCATGCTGGGCTTTGCCATGTACAGGCTGCTGCTCAAGTCGCGGTGATTCTCTTTACCCCCCCCGCGGTTCATCCGGAGCTGGTGGGACCCGTCACCACATCTGGCTGACGTGTCAAAGCTTAGTTTACCAAACATTTGTTTTATTTTCCATTTGTCTTTTTCTCTTAATGGGGATAAAACAGAACAGTATTGAATTTTGTACTGAAACTGCTATCAATTTCCTTGATCTGTATGTTTGCAAAGTAATATATTTCTATTGGAGGGGGTAAGCTGCTGATGAGCCATAGTGACTAACAAGAAGTTGCGTACGTGTATCGCTGCTTTTTGGTTGCTTGCTGACTGAAGCGAACCGTTTCCGCTGTGGTAGCAATAGTTTGCAATAACATTAATGCTTTTATTAGACTTAACTTTGTAAATAGCACATATGATATAGTAGACTTCACATTTGTTTGTCTCTAACAAAAACGTGTCTGATTCCCGCTCAAAACAGTGAATGCAGAGAAATCATTCACTCAACCGCCTGCTTCTGAACCCCCACAAACCTCAGACATTCAGACTGTTTGAGGCCCAAACACTTGGATGCACAGTTTTTTTTTTTTGTACGTGTTAGCAGGTCAGTGTTTGATCACTGGATGTGTGGAAGCGTCTGCTGCTGCTCTCTCTCTACCCCCCCCCCCCCCTCCCTCAGTGTATGCTAACATATTTATCATTGACCCTTCAAAGCCACTACATTTTGTATTAGCATGCTTCTGACTTTCCGATCACATTTCTGAGTTTTAACACTTACTGTACTAAAGGACTACCATGCCGAGTTCTCCACATTGCTTCCCACCTTCCAATGATCCAGGAATTGTAGTAGTAGTAATGTTTATTGACAGGAGCTCTTAAAATGGTTGCAGCACGGTAAAGTTGAACAGCCCTTGTGATCTCCGTTCACCTCGACTGATCACAGAAAATGCAATAACGTGGCCCAAGATGTGGATTTCCATGCGATTGGTTTAGTTTGATGTATTCACTCAGCCCCGCCTTTCCAAGAGTTTACAATAAACAAATATCTGTATGACATCTGGTGTGAAGGAAATTATTTTCAGTTTCAAAGACGTTTGCAGATTGGGGCCAGTAGTGGGCAGCTTTTGCGTGAATACATTCAGGTCATTACTTTGTTTATTTGTATGAACATGTGTGGGACAGTGATTCAGCACCATATATACTTTTTTTAAAAATCCTATTCCGACAAGATTATAGGTTCTATTCATCAAATTCATATTGTTCGGATAAATCTTGTGATATGAAAACCGGACCTACTGCGACACAAGATGGCAGCATTGCTTGAGCCAAATCCACCGTGACTTGCCAATAAAATGAGTAGAAGCCGTGTAAAGTTACTCTAAAATGCGGTGTGAAACCGACTGACGTCTGTTCATGAGATTTGACAAGAACAACAACTTCCTCAAGGAGCCGGCTGCTCGAGGAGGAGCACCACGGTCAGACAAAGAGGACGTTGCGTTTTGAGTTTGTGGCTGAGATATAATATCTTTATTGCATTATTTAGTCCAGCACAGTACAAAGTAATCATTCAAATACTTGATTTTGCCCACAAATGGTTTCCAAAATATGTTTCAGTTCAACCCGACTATCAAATACTTAAAAATTGGTACATCTTCAATTCTGAGTCCAATTTACTCAAACCATGTTTCAGAAAAATGTAAGCACGTTAGTCTTGAGCTGTTTTAGTTGAACGAACTGGGCAGAATGTGGAGGGCTCCATGAGAGATGTTGCTTGAGAGGATTATATGCTTTAATTTAATCAACCTTAAATGTTCATCTGTTCTAGACTAGAATGACAAACCTTTTTTAAAAACTCAACCCAAAATTCTGCATTTGGACTTCTGCAGGATTTTCTTGTTCTACTACATTGCTAAAGCACCACAATTATGTGAGGCGGTCAGACACTTATTCAACCACTAAAGTGGAGTCCCCTGCCAGTACCGCCTACCCTGGTGGCACTGGTAAATGTGTGTGTCAGAGGGACACAAAGAGGGCATTAAGGTCTTTCCAAAGACCAAACTGGCCAATGGTTGATATATCCCACTTCTTCTACTCTTAATGTACAGTGTCACTAATTCGGACTGGACCAAAGCGTTGACCTTGACATTAACAGTGTGTAACGTCCACTTTACAAACAACAATGTGAACAGATGTGTTACATTGCTAATGTTGTTTGATTAAAGTGTACCTGGGTCCATCGGGACAGGGAAGAGCCTCTGGGAGCAAGTCGCTGCCTGCAAACACACCCGACTCCTGTCAAAATGAGGCGAGACTCCCCAGCTGGCAACCTAATGGCAACATGAGCTCATTTCCCCACAGCGGGTGTTTCTCCCGCTAGATATCGTGTCTGTTTCTCTGCTTTTGGCTCAAACACTCATGCCTCTGCCTGTCGTGTCACAGCTCTGCAGCTGACGTTTGCACATGACAGCTGCCACGTCAGTTTATTTAGTCCAATTAGCCACTTTGAATGGAAATTCCCATTGGTGCATAACAAGACAATAATACCCTCTGCTCCCTAAAATGTGAAAGAGGGGATGTGATCGGTCCTCATGAGACTGACATGGTTTATTAATTAATGGATTTACCTTGTTAATTATATGTTTAATTTAGCCAAAAAGGTCCTATTATTCGTTCTCTCCATAAACGGTCTAGGGCGCTTAGGCCCTGCACTGTAATTGCTGTAAATTTACGGTGAATTTCTAACGGTATCTTACAGTATGTAACATACAGTTAAATTTCCATCCCTTGCATGTAAATGAACGGCCAATGTCATGAATAAACAGTTAAAGCTGTCAATTTATAATAATAGCAGACTACCGTAATTCAACTGCATGTTACATATATTTTATGAAGTGGTGGAAATACACATACAAGTGCGGTGAATCACAATCTAAATCTGTTGTAGGTTAATGTATGGAAGCCCATGTCAGCCACTGAAAAACAAGTCCTGTAAGTCATCATAATCAGATATAAGTATCTCATGAGCTACGATGATGACTTTGACTTACAGGACATTACTATACATGCAGCTGTCACTTTTATCCAAAACGCCCGTGGTTTGACATAAACTAATGTGGAGTATTTGGGGGTTAGGTGTCTTGCTCAAGTAACACTTCAACTTGGCACAGGGAGCAGCCAGGATTCAAACCACCGACCTTGCGCTGCACAGCCCACCCTCCCTATCCCATGTGCCACCTTCGCTGTCGTTTCAGTGGCTGGAATGTAAAGATTATAAATATTTGTATTATTCAAAGTGTTCATTGCCTAAATTGCCTAAAGACGTGTAATCTCAGTTCATCCAGAACACCTGTGCAGTTCAACATCGGAGGAGTTTGTCATTGCCTCGTCTCTCCAAGTAACGTTGGTAAGTATTATTTGCCTGGCATGATTAACATTCTCTTTCCTTACATCTTGTTGTCTTCCTCATCTTTGTAATTTTAATATTTTCCAATGAACAGTGTTTCTAAATATTTTATTTTGGTTTGTTTTACAGAGGCTCTGGATTAAGGACGCCAGCCATTTGCTGCAGTCAATTGAAAGTGTTCCATAGCGTATTGTTGCAGTTAGTTTACCTTGTTCCTAATAATTTTATGATTCATTTTTTTATTATTGTATACATGCGGCATATTTTAGGTTTTGTTCTTGGTTACAAATGCCTAACATTTTTTTCTTAAAGGCATCTAATAAACTCCAACCACTATAACCAAAATGAGTTTTGTTGTCTTTCTTTGATTTTTCGGGAATTAAATGCAAAAGTATACGGTTATAAGTAAACGGTAACATTCTGGTTTTATAACACAAAAACAGTAATCGCATGGTAACAAACTGTAATCCAATATACGACAACATACCGTATATTATGGTAGGGCACTGTAAATAAAACAGTAAGTAACTAGCGTCGACTGACAGTAAATGGCAGTTAATTCACAGTAAAATTGGTTCAAGTTTACGGTAACATAGTGTAAAAACCATTTATGGTATTATACCGTTAAAAAACTGTATATTCCTGGCATCCTTGCTGCCAGTAAAATACCGTTAATTTACGGTGACATTTTTTAGAGTGTGTCACTTGATGTATTTCATATGGATTTTATTACTGCTTTTACACAAACTAAAAAAGGAAGTTATTTTGAGCTTCAGAATTGAACTTTAACCCAACATTGTTATAAATATATATATATATATATATATATATATATATATATATATATATATGAATCAGGAATGACCCCGAGGCCTAAAAATATGAACTAATATTGTTTTTATTTTATAAATGACCTGGGGGAGAACGATGCTGATCAACCACAGTGAGACACATCGTTTCTGCATCGCTTCCACACAGTTATTAGTTCTGTTGGGGAGGTGTTTATCTGAAATGGGACCCAATCATTTGGATGATTGTAGTGGCCTTTTACACCCTGCTGAAAATGATTGGATGTATTATAATCCCTAACTTGTTTCTTCCTTCACACTTTCTTTTAGAAAGACCCTCACTGCAGAGACCACTTAGCAAAAGGACAAAATATATTTATTTACATCCAATTAAATGAAAATGTACAAATCATCCCGATGAGTTTGGATATTAAATGTATCAATGCAAACATGAATGAAATGGGTAAACGTCCCTTTATTTGTGTTTTCTTAAATTAACATTTATATTAAACAAAGAATGAACAAAAAGGATGACAAAACATGTTTTGTCGTCTTGTAAAGCATGTACAAAATATGAACTCCGAATTCACCAGTAATGAAGGGTTCCTGAAAACCCTGTAAAGGCGACATTATTTAATCTTTAATGGGGGAGGAAATGTCTCCAACTCATCATCATGCGCACACAAGGCATGAAACTTCCGCGCCAGGGACAGACAGCACCCACGGGAGACGGTAGTTCCTCGAAACCCGTCAGAGGGAGCAGCAGGTGACCCCCTCCCTCACCGCTATCCAGCCCCGCCGCCCCCCTGTCTGGGGTGCGTGGGAAGGCAGGACTCAAATGCAGAGTTCGATTAACAAAAGAAGACTGTAATAGTCAAAAGGCAAAACGCAAAAGGCCAACGGGCAAAAACACACACAGGAACTGGGGGGCAAAAAGGCAGGCAGGAACGAGAGACATCCAGGACGATTGACAATGACCCGACAAGTGACAGGAGACACAAGCAGCTTAAATACACTAGAGAGGTGGAAACAATCAGACAATCACAGACGATGACAGGACAAGGCCGGAAGTGAAGTTACCCAGGGAGACAAGAAGCAGAAAACTACAAAATAAGACAGGAAGTGAACCACACCGTGACACCCCCCTCCATCCCCGGAGGGACGCACGCGGCTGGTGCAGATCCGAGTGCCGGTGTCTCCTGGAGCTGAACCGAGCAACAGTCCCAACGCAGGCGGTCGGTACGTGTTACAACACCCCCCCCGTTCTCCCCCACTCTTCCCCCCGACTCCCATTGAGGCTTCCTCGTCGGCACGCGCAGTGGAAAGCAGGCGGCTGTCTCCCCTGCGTGCCAGGTATCATGACGCACCAGAAAATACATAATTGGGCAGCTTCCCGGAAGATGTTTTAGTTGAGTTACACCTGCTTCCCCTACACAAGTCTCATCCAAGTCCCGGCTGTCCCCCCTTCGCTCCGTCTCATGTTATCTCCAGTGTCTGATGATGTCATTATTTCTTTCAGATGGATCTGCGCTTCGCCGCCGCCTCCATCGCTACCGCTGCTGAGTCGCCTCTGTCGAGGTGACGAGACTCGCTCTGCGAAACGTCGCCCCCCCATCCCCGACCCCCCCGCCCCCTCCAGCTGCTTCACAAACTTGGACCGCTGCCTCTCTGTTCTTGGCGACCCAGCGCGCCCAGCAGGCTTTCCTCCAGCTCTCGCAAACCGCTGTGACAAGCTGACTTAACGATGTGGCGGACGGTGGCCCAGCACTATTATTTTGTTATGATTTATTACTAAACAATCATTCAGATCAACTTTTTCCTCAGCTGGTGACTAAGATTGATTTTACGCGTGGGGGCGCGCATGGAATAACCTTTTTTGGAATTGATCTGCGCATACTGTTATTTCTCCAGGACCGACCCTCCGCAAGGCAAGACAGCTCCGACTTGGAGGTGATGTTCTGCTTCTTCTCAACCTGCTTCTGGTTGCAAACTTAGTGGCCGAAATGGGTTTGTGGTCCATGTGGACTCGCTCCTGAGGTCGCTGCAGCTCTCCGCGCGGTCGTTCGGAGAAGAGCCGCCCGAGGATGGCGGGCGCAACCCGGGAGTTACCCGTGAACTCTTCCCCGGCGGTGGCGTCCAACGCGGAGGGCGAAGAGATCGAGGTTTTGGAAAGCACCGACGTTCTCCCCGTCGCTCCAGAGGACGTGAGTACACTGAGCACACAGGGACCTATGATACACTGCTTCCCCCTTTCCGCTAGTTTATCTTGGGGATCTTACGCAGCAGGACGCGCTTTTTTTTGCGCACGAGCAAATCCACGCTGTAGGGTGGTTGTATTGAGTTGAATGTCAAAGCATGAGCCAACAATTAAGTTCTGAAGGTTTATCTAAATGTCATGGCATTACTGGAGATGAAAGGATTTAGAATACTGAGGTAAGGGGAGCAGCCAACAAAGACACACAGCACATCCTTCAGGAATGCTCACTCACACACGCACACACGCCGTTGCTAATTCAAATAGCCCCTAATAAGAAACCCTGTAGGCTTTGTACCTTATTGTCTTTTGCTCTGTCTCATTGAACACAATGATCAGATAATCACTGCAGGGGATTTCTAGACTGCAATTAGAGGGAAGTCATTTTGGCCCTAGACTTATCATTTCCTAACAGATGCTCCTCTCCACTCCAGCACCTGCCTCTGAGATTTGTTTTTGCCTCTCTATTGCCACTCTGTCACTCATTGCTTCTTTCCTTTCTCTTTCCTCGCCCCAGCAATGGAAGTCTCTGTTTGACAAGGTATGTATACTTGCAAGCTGCCGCGGCTTGAGTCACTCACCGTCTTCTTGTATTCATTGTGGAGCAGTGTTGTCTTTGGAGGCCCCCATCTGAGCGTGAACTGTGGGTGACCTGCATTATTAGCTTTGACCAACGCAGATGTGTCGACCAGATGAGACGCTGCATTGTTCGTGGTTAAAGGTCATGAAACATGGGGAATATTTTGAAGGAACTTCGATGTAGTTGTGTACCCGGAGCATTGGAGAAAAACTTACCTCTTGCTTTGGTACAGTACATTTCTATTAATTACTTTGAAATATCTGGATGCATGCACCATGGCCTCAGCATTGTAATTATGCTGTAAAAGTGGCTTTGTCTATAACCGACTTAAAGCTGCACTGAGAAATGTTTCACATTGGCCCAAAGAGGTAGCTGTCAGAAAAAAACAATGTAACTCCAGCTTCAAATCACATATTGAAGTGTTAAACGTCACGCACGTTTGGCATCCTGTCTGATCCGTGCAGCTCGGAGCATCCTAAAAGCGCTGAGCGCTCATTCGCTGCAGTCTGTACGTTTTGGCATCACTGATTGCTTTTGATTTGTCTCCTCCTGTTGGAATTTCATTTGTCTAAATGAGGTGAAACTACTAGATCTCAGCTGAAGAAGACTGCAGCCCCAGTTTGTGATTCAGGCGGATCAGGCAAATATATTTTTAGATCAAAATCTTGCCGGGCGCTGGTTTAAATCCTTTGCCTGCTGGGTAGCAATCACAGCGTAACATGTAAGCGAGCCGCGGCTTTGTCGCACCAACCACCCGCAGGGCCGAGAGGAGAGGAGCGGGAGAACCCCGGAGGCCGAGGGTGTGTCGGCGGCTCACATTGACCCTGATAATGCAATGGGAGGGGGGGGGGGGGGGGGGCATAATACGACATTGTCACCAGTCAGAACGGTCTTGTAAGAAACACACGTGGGCACGCACACACAGACACGCACACAAAGACACATGCACATTGATAAGGCCAGGAAACCCCAGGAGAAGAGGAACCCAGACCGGCTTTTTGTGCATGCAGCATGTTGGACTGGCAGACGGCAAATGCACCCCCCCCTCCTATCTCTCACACACACACACACACTTACACTCCTTCACACGCACGGCTCCGTCCGCTGCAGCACCTGCCTGGTGCCCCCTACTTTCGGGGGGGGTGGGGTGGTGTGTGTGCGTGTGTGTGTGTGCGCGCAGCGGGAATGTTTAGGGTTGAATCACAGGCTCGTGTCAGGCTCACTCTTTCGGGGAGGGACGGAGGTCCCACGGGATTATGTGAAAGGCGAGCAGGGGTGTGGTGCTTCTGCGTGTGTGTTTGTGTGTGGGCGGCTGTATTAGTAATGGAGCATATTCAATAGACAGGCAGCAAGTGGGCCTCTCAAACAGCCTGCCTTTATGCGTGTGGCACAGCTTTGAATTTCCCCCAAAAAATGACAACCACGTGGATTGGCTCGGTCTGCCAGCAACAAATGCCCTTTTACCTCTTTTGTTCTGCTCGCCTCCTTCTTCGTCACAATAAGTCGCACCATTTGTCGGGGGGAGCTGACCTCCCAGACCCCGGCTTCTGCGACTCATGGAAGAGGAATGAAGGGCCACAAAAGACGAGGAAAAGCAGGGCTTTGAACCGGTCCGACAAATCCGCGTCTCCGCATCAGAGAGAAAAGGGCCTCTAAGACCGGCGCATGTGTAGTTCGTCCCGTCAAGAATTACATCGCATGGGCTGCTTTCGCCTCCGCTTTTCACACTGGCCAAAAGGAGGAGGCAGGATTACAAAGAGAAATCCTGCGATTAACCGTCAGCCTGCTTTTCCGACACATTTTAATTGTGGCTCTTTATGTGAAAAGTATCCATGGTGTTACTCTAGATGTCTGAGACAAGATGTTACAGGAAATGTAATACACTGGCAATGTAAGATGTGAGATGAAGATGACGATGTATCTCTTGTGTTAACCAATTCTGGCATCCCTGCCTCGTCAAACGCAGGGCGCATTAGTTTCTGTCCATCCCATTAGCAATGTTTACACACCAGAGGACGGACAGCATCATCTTCAGCCCCAGCATCCTTCTTTTTTTGTTTGTTTGAGGACTCTGACTGTCCTCAGTTGTTCTGTTGTCTTTAAATCCGTTTGGGCAGTGCACAAAAGCCTTCCCGTCGTATCATTTCTGAGCGCCCCCCCCCCCGTGTGAATCGGTTTCTGGATTTCAGAACGTCGTGGGCCAGAATCAAAGTGCTGGGTTGCTCTGTCCGCTTTCCCCTTCACTCCTCTTTCCTTCTCCCCGGGGAGGATTTTGTTGCTGTATAAGTGCTTCCCTCCTCTGCGCGCAGGAAGTCAGGGAGCAAACAGGCCGCTTTGCTTCGTGTCGCTATCGCCTGAAACAAACGGAACACAGAGGGAGTCTGCCCTCTCTGCCTCCCTCATAATCACAGTGCCTCTGCATTTCCTCTGTCACACTCACACACACACACACACACACACACACACACACACACACACACACACACACATACCAATCTGGGAAGATCGCGGCCATGGAAGCTGGATTACATGTAATTTATGTGTTGTTAAAGTTGACTCTGCTGTATGTCTTTGGGGTTGTCCGTCGGTCAATTGCCATGAATGTAATATCTCGGGAATATTCGCAAATCTGGCATGAACGTCTACCGCGATTCAAGGTTGAACTGATTCGAATTTAGTGTTCAAACTTCCCACCAATGTCCAAGAGTGAAAGAACAAAGTTTTAGAACGGCATGGGCGTAAACTGCAACCTCCCTGGGAAGCCTGGCAGAGGGATTTCCCCATTCCACTGTTCCTCGAGGACCCTTTTTAGTTCTTTTGTGTTTTTGCTCAGTATTTCTTGCTTCTGGTCTTCATCTCTAACAAGAGGAATACACAGAGCCCCGATGTCTGTCTCGTTGTCCTAGCACAGTTAGTGATTTGGTTACTATGGTGGGCTTCACGCAGAGCGCACATTCCCTAAGTATTTATTGAAGGGAACTGGGAATGTCCCAGTGCTTGTAAACCCAACAAACTCAAAGAAGGTGACGAACCTGTAGAGACAAGGTGTATACAAACTGTAGACTGTATATCATTGCAGTTTCTTTCCAAAGGACAATATTGGTTTGCGTTGTTACTGCAGCCTTGCAGCACAAACGTGTGTCACTTGTTGAAATTGAAGAAGACTTCTCTTTGACTCTGGACTTGTGTGTGAGTGTGAGAAAGAGGTCCGTGCGTGTGTCCTCGGTTGCCTTTTGTGCTGACAACCTGCTCCCAATGGCATGTTGAAATGCCGGAGGCACGCGGCCCAAGGAGATTAGTTATTAAACACTTTCACATGGCTGCATACTTTTCATGGAAGTGTCTCCCCCTTTCATTTTCTTGCTTGGTGGCCTGACAAAGCTTCTGAATTCAAGTTATGATCCAAAAGTTATTCAAACCACAAATACGAGTCTTTCAGATCCTTCAGGAATGTCGTCTGGCCCGGGGGACTTACTGTGTGCCGCGTGGTCTTTGATTTATGATCACCACCCCGTCACCTAGCAACTGAAATAATGGCAGTGGGCCGTGGTGTCAGAAAAGCCCAACTAGCGTCAATAATTAAAGGAGACTCAATGGCGGGGAAGCCACCTGTTCCCAGTGGTGTCCGTCATGCTTTGCAAGGGACTCGTCAGCCCGACATTCAGTGGTCCAGAGAGAAGAGCGAGGTTGTCACGGTGGTTTTATTTCCTGTCTTATTTTGTAGTTTTCTGCTTCTTGTCTCCCTGGGTAACTTCACTTCCTGCCTTGTCCTGTCATCGTCTGTGATTGTCTGATTGTTTCCACCTGTGTCCAATCACCTGCACCTCCCTAGTGTATTTAAGCTGTGTGTGTCTCCTGTCACTCGTTGCGTCATTGTCAATCGTCGTGGATGTTTCTTGGTCCCTGCCTGTATTTTTGCCACGGTTCCTGTGTGCGTTTTTGCCCCTTGGCCTTTGCTTTTGCCTTTTGACTATTAGAAGTCTTTTGTTTTCTAAAAAGTCTGCGTTTGAGTCCTGCCTCCCTTCCCAACCCTGACCGAATGACGCGACCACGAAGGAACTCAGGAGACCCGCTGCCAGATTTCGGACCGAACTACCTGGACGTAAGAAGTCCCTTCTGGCAGCGTAGAACAGACTTTATTTTCGGTCCCTGGAGCTATCGAAGGGCTTGTCTCGACCTCTGGGACCTCTTAAACCCCAGAAGGAGTCCTGGCAGGGGGAAGAAGCGATCCCCCGTTCCCGCTGGGCCGCCGCAGTGCCCCGACCCCGATTCGGCCAGTACCGGCCCCGAGACTCTCGGCCCCGACTCGGCCAGTACCGGCCCCGAGACTCTCGGCCCCGACTCGGCCAGTACCGGCCCCGAGACGCTCAGCCCCGACCCCGACTCGGCCAGTACCGGCCCCGAGACTCTCGGCCCCGACTCGGCCAGTACCGGCCCCGAGACGCTCGGCCCCGACTCGGCCAGTACCGGCCCCGAGACGCTCAGCCCCGACCCCGACTCGGCCAGTACCGGCTCCGAGACTCATGTCCCCGACGCCTCCAGTCCCCGCTCAGAGACTCAGGCTCCCTCCCTCCCCATCCCGTGGTCCTCTCCCACCCTCCCGTTGGTGATTTGAGGGCCGTCTGGGATCCGGCCCTTGAGGAGGGGGTTATGGAGGGGGCTGAGCCGGCGACTGCGGAGGTGTTCCGTGTCCCCGAGCCACCGCCGCCGACTGCGGAGGTTTTCCGTGTCCCCGAGCCGCCGCCGACTGCAGAGGTGTTCCCGTGTCCCCGAGCCGCCGCCGACTGCGGAGGTGTTCCCGTGTCCCCGAGCCGCCGCCGACTGCGGAGGTGTTCCCGTGTCCCCGAGCCGCCGCCGCCGACTGCAAAGGTGTTCCCGTGTCCCCGAGCCAGCCATTCCAGAGACGTTCCGTGCCCTGCAGTTGCCGCTCCGGAGCCGGCCAAATGACCACGGTTGCCACG